ATTGAAAGTCACTAAGATCACTTGTTTTGCATATTCCAATGCCCAATTAAACACTGATAGTAGAAGCTATGACCCGCCTGATTTAAAACACAAACTACAGTCACATGACGTGTACCTTTTTGGAATATACAGTGCTGCATGAAGATGGTACTTAATAAACTGTCAACTCTGTGCTGTTATAGAAATGCACATTGCCTATAATAGCAGTAGCAGCCATCTTGAAGCCTGAATTTTGTCTGGAGAGGTACATACAGGGAATTGTGACGCAACATAGTACCCAAAGAAACCTACTTTTTCAAATTCTTGGATAGTAAATAAAATGGCTATATTTGTGTTGTAGATATTATGACCCCTGGTTCCTGTCACCACCACTGTAAAGAAATCGGAAAGTTTTTCTACAATGCAACTTTAGCATCAAACCACTGTAAATGATGTTGGGAATCGTGTTGAAAGAGTATTCAAAGAGAACTTGGTCGTGAAGGCCATGGCTTCCAGGGATGCAAGCAAATAATCTACTGTTGTCATCATATCTTCATCAGAATGTTGATTTTGAATTTGAGGCCTAAACATCAAGCCAGACCTTGTTTTTGAGATGTCTTTTTGTATGCGTAAAGATGTATGAAAATCCTACATAGTGCAGCTTGAACATGACTTGAGGCAAATAAATTTGTATAAAAAAGTTTTCTTGTAACTAAGATTTGGGCAGGAATTTTAATAATATTGGAAAGCCGTCAAAAATCTTTCATCATCTTGTCTGTCCTATTACAGTGAAAGCATTCCCACTCTCAGAGGCACAGGCTGTGGTCTCCCCACGGAACTTTGAAAAGGGGCAGAGAGTTCATCAGACCTCAGAAAGAAAATGTCAAGCAAGACATTTCAGATTTGTTAGGAAAGAATGTCTGGATAATACACCCTTGTCATCCTAACTCAGATTTGAATGTGTGGTAGTTTGGTTTGTGGCTTTTTGTCTCTGTGTGGCAAAACACAGCTCAGGGTCATACACACACACACACACACACACACCAGTTGCACAGTTTCAACAGCACGGTCACATTCACTTCTCCACCAAACAAGGCTAATGGAAAGGGATAGAGGTGTTGAGAGGCAATGGGGAGAAGAGAGGAGCTGAGGGATTTTGGACTGGAAGATGTGTGCGAGGCTCCTTGGCTTCGACTCAGGGATGCTGGGACTCTTCTGGTTTTCCGGCAGACTCCCACTGCGCGTGATGTTTCAGAAGTGAGAGAGACGGATGAGAGCACTACTTCCTCCCTGGGCTGCCTTAGTCTACAGCTTTGATCTAACTCCAGCCACAGCCTGAAACATATGCCAAACTCCTGTGAATGTCCACAATTATTATTGGTCCATCCTATATGAACCGTTTCATCATCTCATGCTGCCTTGAATCAGAGCTAATGTGGTGTCTTAATTATTTTTTCTATTTTTTTTTTTTTTAAGAAAAACATGTATGTATTTATTTATTTACTTACTTACTTACTTACTTACACCAACTGCATTTAACATTAAGTGAATTGAACCAAAAAAAAATTCAGGATATTTTTAAGTTACATTCCATATCATCAGCGGAAAACCGCAATCATTTTTTTAAAAAAAATAAGGTAATATATAAAGAGTTTAAAGTCTTGCGTCCCAAACCACATCCAACACAAAATAGTGTGTAAAAACTAGTGCAGTGACATTGGTATTGCACTCATTAATGTAGTAGGGTAAGTATAGAAGTGTTCGGTTTGGACGCAACAGATCAGGAAATGAGACGTGTCTAACAGTCCAGCAGCTGTAGTAGAATGTAACTGATGCACCATTTCAAGTGGAACTGAAGCTGGCGAATTAGACACCATCCCCAGCGTAATTGTGTTTTTATTTAGGAGCTTTGGCAGTTTTTGGTAGCCATTTTTATTGGTTTTCATAAAATCTCATGCATTGGAGTTATCTGAACCTGAGTGGCTTGCAGGCTGTACAGATCCAGTCGACCAATCAAGCTAATCTTCTCCTCATAGCATTTTCTGAAGACTGCATTTACAGTGCCCACATATCTTCTCATAGTCATTCTGGTCTATTTTGTTCTGTCTTTATTCACCTGCAGGTTTGTAGATGCAACAACGGTGGTTTCCAAACTTTCATAAATATTAATGTCTGGTTTTGAAATGGAATGTCCAACAAGCTCATATAGGTATAATGGCCAGATGTCCACATGCCATATAGAAAATATCCACCTTTTCAGAATACACCAGTTTAGCCCTGTTGATTGCTGAAGTTCTAAGGAATGTTTCACCTAAGGAGTGCTTTTGATTGAGGCACGATGCAGAGGCCAATCGTAACAGAAGTCACATATCAGTCTTAAAGGCACAGTAACAGAAATAGCCTGTTCTAAGGAATAAAGAGAGGTTGGAAAATAGTCATGTGAAAATGAATTATGACCAATTTTGGTACATAAAGCTACATAATTGGACCTCAAGGGGAAAAAATAAAATGCGAGAAAAACACAGGGCCTTTTAATTCTACAAAGTTACGGTTTCAGATGAAAACAACAATTGGCTTTTATAGTGTCAGTATGCCGTTTTTTTTGCAGTGTTTAAAAATGAATAGGTCAGTGATAAGTTTTCAAAATGACAAAAATGATGTATTTGCGTTTATGTCTGTGTGCATTTTGTATCTTGTATATAGTTTGTGTTATCAAAGCTTTTAATTGTCTATTTCAGTTATTAGAACTGCTGGTCTGGTTGCAACATTTACTATTTGTGCCACCTGACTTTTCAGACTAATTTCAAATTAAACAGGCATCTGTTTAGACACCTGTAGAAACCCTTTTCCTTAAACTTGAGTTCATACTTACCTTTTATTTTCAGATGAATAAACATTAATGTAATAATTATATCATACCACCTGACACAGTAAACTGAAGCATCCTAACCATGACTCAACAATGACATTTTTTCCAAAATTTGTGAAAGGGCTACTGACCTTGGGGTCTTCTTTATGATGCAATACTCTGGCCCCTTTTTTGTAAAAGCATGCCAAAATAAGAGCTTGTTTTTGGATGTGCCGTCTGCATTTGCGGAAGTAAGAACTTGCAGACAAAGGTTTTTCTGTGAGTTGAACATTTTTAAAGTTGCCTTATTTTGCAACATGGTTTTTATTTTGAAGTGTTCAAACATAAAATCATGTCAAACTATTTTATTTTGAATTTTATATAACTATATTACCTTTTTTATAGTTTACTTTAGCCAACATATGGCTGGATGATTGAACCACTTGACTTGTTTAAAAAGAAGCTAAAATTAATTTTATAGATCCACTGAGAATTGTTTCACATGAAAGATATATTGTTGAATAATTTGATTTATAGTCAAAATAATGGACACAAAAAATGCATGTCATGTCATTAGCTGTGTGAAATGTTCATGTATGTGGGTGTGAGTAGTAAGCCTGAGCTGTATCACAGCCCCTCCACTTTCTCCTCTTTTGTCAGGCTGTTCAGTGCTGGGTGGCTGCTGTTGTTCTTTTTCTTGAACTCAGTGACTCTGCCTGCGGCTCCTTTCTGAGCCTGTCTACACTGTCCCTTCCATGACCATGCTCACGCTCTCGTCTCTTATGGTGTTCTCCCGCACTTAAACATCTCTAAAGCCTGCAGTTCACAGAGAGGAGAGACTCTGATAATAGGTTTCGCTAACCGTGACTGCAGCCCTGAATCGAATCACATCTGTGCCAGTTTTAGCGCCTGTATGGGCCAGAAAGAGTAAAGAACGACACTGTACCACTCTCAGCCTGCCGCTTATCTTTCTCTCCCATTCCGCTCTAATCCCATTGCTTGGAGGATCAGCGGCCGGATTGTCTGGGATGTGGTGGAGACTGTGACTAATTGCTGCGGTGGTGCACAGGAGAATCCGCATCCGGAAAAGCCTCAAAAATGCCTCCCGAGCCAGAGATACTCTCTTGCACAGACAAGTGTTGACACATTTAAGGTCAGCTGCTAAATATGACAGACTTTTTTTTTTTTAATATATAACTAAATATACAAATGTGACTGTAGAAACAACATAAACAGCAGTGGAGCGTAGACAAAAACACATTTGAAAATTTTATAGTCAAGTGTAACATTCCAAAGTATATGCAGTTGAGTTGCCATCTTTAGATCTACAGTAGGCTATTGTGCAAAATTCAAAGACCACCCTTTCATTTATTTCATTTTCCAGTCAAAACGGCCAGTACACGTAATTCTTTTTTCAGGAGATATTTCTGAAGACATTATCTACATGGTAATCCGCTTGCATAAGGAAGGGGAAAGTCAAAGGGACAAAATGACAGGAGTTTCCAAACCTAGAGTTCAAAACATTAAAAGGTGTAGAGTAAATAACTCCTAACAACCATGCAAAACCTAGTAGATCACGTAAGCTTTTATCTTTGAGAGAGAGGAGAAAATCAAGCTCCACTCTTACTTCAGAGCAGATAAAATCCTGTTTCTGTCCATCCTTCCACTGTGAGAAGACAGGTCAACACTATGAGTCTGAAAGGATGTGTAGCTGCAAAAAAGCCCTTACTAAGAAAAGAAAATAGGCAAAAAAGGAGAAAATTTTCAAATCAAAAACGAAGCTGCTGGTGTTCTCAGAACAATGGACTGACCAGACCTAAACATCACTGAATGTATCAAGGGATTACTTGGATTGTGAGAAGAGAAAAGAAAATACAGCCAACTTCTAAGACTGAACTTTAGAAGAGTATATAAATATTTCTGCAGATTTCTTTGAAAAAGTGAAAGCAAGTCTCCTAAAAAAACAGAAACTGTAATAAAGGCAAAGGGCGGACACTGAAGAAAAAAAATATTAAAAAATGAATATATATAGATTTTTTCTTACCCTAAAAAACTAATAACTTGTTCTTAATGGCTGTGTTGACTGATAATCAAACAACTGAATTTGCACAGTACTGTAGTACATCAGTGCATTTCAACACCCTTGTTTTCTAGTAATGACAAAAGCACAAAATTCAGGCATTTTGTTCCATTTTTATTCCTGTTTTTTTGTATGCAATACCAATAAAATACACATCTAAGAAAGTAAAATGGTAGGTGAGGGATGCATGTTTACATGGAGCTTTAGCACAGAACCACAGTGATAGCAGAACTGGACATGCATGAACAACCAGATAAAAGATGCTGAAGTTGAGTTGCTGCTTAAATCTCACATCACACAGAAGGAGTTGCGTGTTGATCGACTCTGGGGTCTTGGAGAGAAGGGGGTCTGGGGTACAGGGTACTTCATGACCTTTAGATGCTACCGTGTCCGGATTTGGGCAGCATCATTCTCGCACGTAGATCCGTGTGCACACCACATCATCTGCTCCAAACGTCTGAGAGAAAGAGAGACGAGAGATGAGAACATGAGTAAAAGGGATTGGCTGCTCGTTTCAGGCCATTTATTTAACTGTCTTAATAAGGAGTGTGATTTCTGGTCTTGGAGAGCCTTAGTCCAACACAGTTTGGTCGTTTCCCTGTCCAGGGCAGGAAGAGCAGGAAAGCACCAAACTGTGCTGAATACCAGCCCTTCAGGACCAGAAGTGACCACTCCCTGACTGTGATTCCCAACCCTAGCTCTGCAGTATAACTCTCCTACACACTGTGATGTTTTCCCTAGGGATGCACACGGATCGGAATCATATCAGTAACGACAGACAATTGATTTAAAACAAAATCAGGGTCTCACTTTATTTGGATAGTACACTTTAGTCCCCTACAGACTATCTAAAGATGTTCAAATTGTTAGCAAACTATCTGTTGATTCTAAACAGCGGTGGGGTTAGGGTTAGGGTTTGGACCAGGATTAGGTCTAGGAGCAGGGTCAGGGTGGGGTTTAGGTTTTGGGTTGAGATTAACGTTAGGATAAGAGCCAAATGTAGAGTTAATATATAGAAAATGTATTAATTTATACATATTAATTGCATATGGATGTTTTCTCTGCAGAAAAATGAAATGTACCTGTTTGTTTAAAGAGTAGCTGAGTCTAGTTTCTGCTCTGTAATTTGCCTGGTTGTAATTTTGATGGTGGGTGTATTTCGGGATGATGAGTAATTAACATGCAGTTAACTTTATAAAATTTATTAAAAGTAAATTAAGTATCTACAAAGCATGTAAAGTGTACTATCCTAATAAAGTGTGACCAGAATCAGGATTGGACAAAACTTCAGATTTGACTGATATTCCTGATATTTGATGATGGATTTATTTTACTTCGGATTATCAGATTGTATAGGCGACAATGGGCCACCTGCACTAAAATGACAGCGTTCATTCATTTTACCGCATGTATAATCCTGCAGAAATAAGTGTTATATTTCTCTGTAATCCTAATCCCAAATTCCACATTCAGTCCCAATTTCTACACTTTTATTAATGTTAAAATGTCAGCATTGGTAGATGTGTACATGCCCAAATATCGGACCCACAATTCCATCCTTTGTTTAGCCTACTCTGAAAGTGCTGCATCAACTAAACAGCCCATTAGAGAGCCTTTCCTGAGTTGAAGTAGAAGTGGACATGTTAGGAAAACTAGGAGTTAGTTAGAAAACTCCAAAATGTGCAGAGCAGGGGTGGACCAGAGAAACCACTGATTTAGGATATAGGCTGTAACTTGCTTAAATGTGTTCTCCAAACTCATTGTCCCTCATTACTATCAAACTTGACACATTTTTTGGAAGAGCGCCAGCCTGAACATCAACAATTGTGCACCGACAGCTCAGCCACATGATACTGAGACAGAAAAGTGAATGCGTCTTTATAGACTCTCTCACATACACAGACAAAGTTCCTGTGAGACTAAAGCCTTAAGCAGTTAAAGCCTACCAGGCTCTGATTGGGGTTTTAAAGGGATCAGACACAGAGATAAAGGTACATTGTACTTTTTTTCCCCCTCTACTTTTACTTTAGCGAACTTTAATGAAGCGTGCATGTCTTATGGAAATGTGCCCTAGATTCATCACAAAACGCCAAAGACAATCACACTGAGGCTGCTTGATTGCTTTTCTCCATAATTCTCTCGCGCTCTGTTTTATAGCTAAGCTGTGCGGTTTGTTCAGAAACCTTCAAGCATCTCCAGAATTAATGAGAACAGCCCGAGAGATCCGGGTCAGGCCCACGTTTGGATTGGACTCTTCAGCGCATTCCAGAGTGCACTCTGGGTTAGACGCTGACATGAACTCCCATAGCCAATGTCAGCCCGCAGACACAACCCTAATTCAGCTTTTATGGAATCCAAGTGAGGGTTGTATAGCCATAGGTTTCTGGATAACAGTTTTATGTTCACCATAAACACTGTAGTTGATGAGACACAGACTTCACCAAACTTATTAATTGCATATGGATGTTTTCTCTAGAGAAAAATGAAATGTACCTGTTTGTTTAAAGAGTAGCTGAGTCTAGTTTCTGCTCTGTAATTTGCCTGGTTGTAATTTTGATTGTGGGTGTATTTTGGGATGATGAGTACTTTCAAAAAGAGGCGAGTTTATGAGAAGGATAAACAGTATGAGGAAAACTGAGTGAGTGTGTATGTGCATGTGTGCACGTGTGTCACAAGAGGCTGAAGTGAGAAAAGCCACCTCTGCACAACAGGTCACCCAGAGATCTCGGCTATTCTGTCCTTCAATCGATCCAGTCCATTAGCTTTGGGTCCAACAAGGGGTCATAGTCTCCTTCAACACTGTATTCTCTCTCTCTTTCTCTCTCTCTCTCCCTCTCGTTTTCATATCCTACATTTTTGACGATCCAGAGGTAAAAAATCGATATGCTCTCTCTTGTGCCATTGATCCATAGTCATAAATAGTCATAAAATAGATTCATTTTGAAGTTCATCTCAAGTGTGCACTCTTAAGCACACTTCATTTAGTTTTAGTGGCAGTTAAATTGCCTAAACCTTTCCTGTAAAGAACGAAAGCTCTTAGATCATAAGATATATTACAGTTAATTGGGCTTGGGAGAGATATCTCTTCCTTTACTTCAGTACAATAAACATATCAGAGGCTTTAAACAGGTTTCTAAGTCAGCTCTCACATGGAAGGCCATTAAAGTGTGCTGCTTTTTTGGTGCTCCATCTGCGTTTTGCTCTTTTCCCACTATTATCTTTGGGCGATGTAACAATGGCTGAATAGGGAGTATTGTTTATTTGTGGGGGCTTGCTGGAGGTTCATAAAAAGGTTGCTGAGGAGGTGCACCCCCACAACTCTCACGGTACTGTGAGGTGATTGTTAGGAGCTCCTGAATGTGTTCTCTGGCCTGCTGCCTGGCTCTGGGAGCTTGTGGATTGCACTGGGTTTGGTTCATGTCTACTCTCTCCTTGGGAGGCTCACAGCAAATCCTTCAGCTTTTTGAAAGTTCGAAAATTGTGTAACAATCACCTGATTTTAGTTTAAAGCATTAGGAAAAGAATTTGTGAGCTTTGTGTTTGAGATTACTTAATTTGGCAAGAAGTCAAATTTATCCCAAATGTTGTTGATCAGCAAAATCTGAAGTTTGGTTCTTCAGTTTTACACTGTAATTACAAGGCTACTGTAGCTACCAAGAAATATGAGCTTATGCCAACTAGCATCGTGCAAACTGCATGATTGCCTCATCACACACTTGCCTCATCTACTTGGTGATGTAATCTCAGACTTGCCTGAGTGTTTTCTAATAGTGTATGACATACTGTTAAACATAAAAATGAATAAAAATATGGAGAAAATTCAGGCTCCAAGCTGACTGCCACCCTCAGATATCACTGGCTTTAGCAACGCAACATACCTTCGTCCTTTGTGTGATGATTTAGGCATTCAGTTTGTACAGTGCTTATTGGTTGGTTTATCAGCTTCTACATTAGCTTCATAGCTTTAAAGAGAATTCCCCCAATTTTCTGCGTAATTCAATTGCTGAGGAGTAAACAAAGTTAGTCAGAGTGGTTTGATGTGAAATGCCCTGTTCTAAAGAAACAGTCAGTATTTTTCACAGTGGTGGTGATAGAAACCAGACATCTGAATAGCTTAATGCCTCTAAAAGCTCCCTCACATAAAGTTATTACACAAAATGGTTATGCTGTCTGATGTCTGAAACATTGGTAACAATAGTTTTGAGATAAGATATTGGCCTAAAACATTTTAAAATTGTGCAGATATTTTTATAAAATATTCATTACTGAGAGGTGCATACAGGGCATTGTAAAAGCAAAAAAGTCGCCAAAGAAAGATTTTTGACAGATTTAACACTAGCATTAGCATTACATATTATATATAAAAACTCAGAAGACACGTCTGGGTTCACTGGTCATTCTAGATAGTAAAAAAAGTGGCTGTATTTGTCTTGTAGACATCACCGTTGTAAAGAAATCTGAGCTGGCAAGTTTCTCTTCCATTAACCATTTCACATCAAACTGCTCTGACTTTGTTTACATCCCAATGATAAATTAAGAAGATATTTTGAAGAAATGATGGTATTCCCCTTTCAGTGCTAAACTAAACTAAAGAAGAAAACATCAGACATCAGACATGTCCTGGCCAATCAATTGCATTTGGGGTGAGAAGAAAAACATGGAAAGTTTGCTTTGGGACAAAACAGACAGACATCTCTCTTTCTCTGCTAATTCAATACTGAAACCTTTCATAATACTAGCACAATATTGCTCTAAGATTTTGCCATCAGCACTCGACCCAGTATCCACCTATAAACTCTCACCAGTATGAGTTCTTCCCCCCGGAGCTCCCTGGACCAATATGTCTTGGGCCCATTGCCATCCACCAGCGTTTGCTTGCAGTAGATCTTATTGTCCGTCTCCCACGTGGCCAGACTCTGCGAGAGAGAGAGAACATACAGAGACATCATCACACACCCATGCTCTAAATGGAGCTCTAGTAGTCTATTTAGAGTACGGCCAAAGCAAAGATGGAGAGTTTAATGCAATAAAGAATGATTGTGTCTGTGGCTGAGTTGTTGAGTTTCAATGAACAAGCTTCAGCCATCCTGTAACAAACTCATAGACTACTTATACAGTCCACCTGTTCTGTCTGTGCAGCTTGGGAAACTATTCCAAGCAAAGCATGCTAGTAAGATACTGCTTGCTACATTCATGATGCATCACAAGTAAGATTTGTTGAATGACACATAAACGTTGAAACGCACTCACAGGAAAATACTAAAACGTACCATTTCATATGGGTTGGTGGGAAGCCTTGGATCTGTCCCCTCTGTGTCCTCCCTCAAGCCTTTTACAAACAAAACTATAAACCTAAACTCACTTATGCAGCTTTATGCTAAATCCTGTCAAAATGAAACTCTGTCTTGGAGGCCTAGCTGAGGATACTGAGGACCTCATCTATTCTGATTTTCCCATGCCACAAAACAAACCGACGAATCTAGTATTTGTTCTATTTGGGCTCCATAAATGAATCAGCATTATGGAACAAACAAAGCAGCTGATTCAAGTTTTGGGGTCAAAGTGAGTGATCAGCTGAAGCTGTTCATAAAAACTGAAGCCTGCAAAAAGATTTATGAAGACAAATTGGTTTCAACTAAAAGTTATACGCTTTATAAGGATTGTTCTCAAATTGCTCTTGCTTTCTCAGGCAGGTATCGTGGCTTCTGTGAGTTAAACTTGTGCTTGTAGACTACTATAAATCGCACTGCCTCCCTTCTTTTCACTTCAACTCTTTGAACAAAGCGTGACTCGGGCTTTAGACTCCATCAGTATCTGTTTGAAGTGGAACCCAGAAGACAAGGCTTCACACAGCTGCAGTATGAGACCTCAACGTTAATCACCATATCAAAGGTGCAGGGGAGATCAGGGGAGCCTGCAGGGCCAGAGAGAGAAGATCCAACACAGAAGTGAAGAACACAACCCAGGCTTTTATTTCTCTCTCTCTCTCTCTCTCTCTCTCGCTCGCTCACTCGCTGACTCGCTCTCTCCCTGGCCATTTGGATTTACCACTGAGTGTCTGTATAATACTTAAGGAGTTAATTGACCGGAACATCTGCTGTCTTTGTCTTTGAGGCATAACTCTCCTGTATGCAGCTGTTCACGAAGCAAAGGATAGGTCTTGTGTCTTCAGCTCATTATGGTAATACAAGCTGAATCTGTAGGGAGTGCTTCGAGTTAATGAGTTCAGTCCTCTCTTCTTTCATCTTAAGGCTGGCTCCTATACTCATAATGCAGGGTGTGAGGTGGCTTCATCAAATATGCTACTGAAATGGTCTGTTTGCAAACTGCAGTATTATCAGATGTTATGCTGAGAGAAATCAGTGGCCTTGTATCTGCAGTCGCTCTCATTTATTTCCTCTTTTTCACTGTCTTTTTTCCCGCCGCGGGCATGTACTAGGCATACAACAGATCTGACAGATCATCAATATAAAACAGGCGGCAGGCACACAAAGAAAACTTCACATCCAAAACTTCGTAGACACCTGCTCCTCCATCATTCTCCTGAAATCAAGGGTATTAAAAAGGAGTTTACCCCCCCTAGAGCATTAGTGAGGTCAGCTACTGATGTAGGAAATCCAGTGCATGTTAACTCAACCATTTTATGCAGCAGCAGCAGTGATAATGAGGGTTAGTTCTAAGTGTTTGGCTCTCTCACTCACTGACATAGATAAACTGGCTCTAGAAATCATTTTTTTTCATCCCGCCTGCTCTGTTACAGGTGAACACTTCGAAAGTCTGTCTCTATAGCAACCAGTCTGGCAAAAGGCTTCATTTGTCAAAGTCTTCTAACCTCAGTCCCACAGTTTTCTGTCTGCAAACAGGAAAAACAATAGAACTGCAGCTGAATTGGAGATGGGACTGACTGCACTTTAAGAACTGAAATGAGGTATACTGGTCTGATGACTCATGATATAGATTTGCCAAGTCTAAAAATAAACATTCCTGCAACCTAAACAAAATAAAACTTAAACTTTGAACAATTTAAATAATCACTAAAATGCTGAAGGAAGGCAGAGAGCTACTGTTTCTGCTAGAAAGCTAAATGCAGCTGTATAACTGTAGGAACTGTCGTCAAATCATCATTATTATAGAGAAAATTGATTTTTCAAACAACAGAAATGTCTCATCAGATGCAGAGGACAACAAGCTTAAAGCTTAAATGATCAGGGTAGCTACCTATCTCGATACCTTGCCTCATTTTGTCTTCTTTTCTCTGACTGAAAGGGTATTTTTGTGGAATAAAGATACAAATAACAAATTCAACTCTGATTTTAGACCGGAATGCCCCTTTAAGTATAATAATAATAATAATAATAATAATATCTCTACAACAACCAGCCAAACATGTTTTAGTATGTTATTTCATTATTGTCTTGATAGTACACTAAATGTATGTGTAAATGTTATTTTTCCTGAAAAAGAAAGTTTTCAGACAATTTCCATTTTCATAGTCTACATTAACAAACTTTTAAAGTGTTGAAATATTTTTGTAAGAAACCCACTGGATTGAAACATAGCTAATGATATACATTTGATTTCATATCGTCCACTCCTAATCCAAATCCACTGCTGTTCAGTGGCAAGTTCATGGCACCGAGTGATGGTTTTCAGTGTGGCTCCAGCTATTGTGGCTGGCTTCAGTCTCAGAGGTGATCAGACTGGCAGCCCTGGTGCTGATGAGCAGCTGGGTGTTGCGTTTTTGTTCAAAGCAGCCACGTCCAGCAGCTCCTGCCAGCGTAGCTGTGCTATTGTGAGACAACATTAGCATCAGACACAGCTGCGGCCTGCTTCTGTCTCCGAGTCCCGGTGTGTGAGTGGGCAGCTGCAGCTCATTACTCAAACTGTGGCTTTGGGGAATACAGTATCATTATCAACGGGCTTTCTGCTCATTTATACACGCACACAGTATCATTATCATGGCTGTCCCCTCTGCCCCACACATACAGCTTCGGCTCAGCGTGTCTGCCTTTGCCTCTCAGAGAGAGAATACACCCTTCACTCCCCCCAAATCTAAATCCCCAGATTAAGTAGCTCTTTTAACCCAGTGCCAGCACTGGTTAGCTTACTCTCTGTGCTAGAGAGCGAAAGTCTCTCTCTTTATTTTCTTTCCCTCTCACTCTCTTCTCCTCTCAATAAACTACTTTTCATTGTTAGGAACAATCAGTTTTTTCCACACCAGATTGGAGATGTTAAACATGAGGGGCGATGGTCAGAATAAATTTGGATTTAAAGAGAAATTTACACTGAAAAAAAGTAAAATATTGAGTTTATTTAATTGCATAATTTCCACATGAATAAAATATATTATGACAATGCAATTTTGTCATTCAGCTTACTTTTGGCGTTAGTCATCTTGATGAAATATTAGTCCCGTCAAGTTGGTACCGGCTCCTGGCGACCATGTGGATAGTGTATTTCCAGAATGTCCTGTCTTCTGTTAAAGTCTTTAGGCTTCTGAATAGCTTGCTCATGTTATCTTTGATCGTGTCCATCTATCGTCCTCGTCTTCTTTTACCTTCAACTGTTCCAAGTATAAGTGTTTTTTTCCCAATAAATCAGTTCTTTTCATAATGTGTCCAGACTGGTTATCTGGACTTTGAGAGACAGGCGAAGCTTGATTTGATCAAGAATCCATTTGTTTTCTTTGCCATTCAAGGCAAAAGTTGTCACCTGCACCAAAGCTCAAAGGCATCCATATTCTTCCTGTGCCGCTTTTATTGTCCAGCTTTCACATCCATAACAGACCACAGAGAAGACCACCACCTTAACAAACTTGATCTTAGTTTAGAAAGACAAATCATTACGCTTGAAGATCTTTCCTCCATCCTTGTTCTGACCAATCTGAGTCATATTTTTGACAGCTGGATCCTTCGTTGTTAATAATCAATCCAAGTAGGCAAAAGCTTATGGCATTTCCACATCTTCTCCATCGATGGTAAAGTTTGCAGTCTTTGTTGCTGTCTTCTTCATATTGAGCTGAAATCCCCCTTCAGATCTTCCTATTACATTTTATTAGTGTGAAAATGAATCTAGTAAATTCAGTCTATTACTTTTTCAGTGTAGATGAAGTCATATTACCATATAAACTGCAGAAGCACAGACTAGAACTGAAAACGACTAAAGAGGAGAGGTGCCTGCGCCACTGGGGATGCTCATCAGTGCCAAATTGGTTATTTGTCAAGTGAAATAACCTTAAATTTATCTGCAACATCTAATATTTCTAATATTGAGATTGTTGTAAGCTTTATTTCTTGACATTCTGTATTATATGTATCAAGTAAAATTGTTATATTTGCAGATAGTTTTGCTTGTTTTAAGAATATGACTGAAACAAGGAAAATGATCTCAACATGAGAAATATTAGATGTATTGACAAGATTTAATATAATTTCACTAGGCAAGATACAATTTCTGGTAGAGACTCATCTAAAAGTGCACAGGGGGAGGCAGCTAGCTGTCCACATTTACCTCTCTGGGTGGATAAAATGATGGATGGACTCTTTCCCAACTCTCTGATATCAGAACCCAGACAGTCAACTCCATGAAACAGAAAAATCAGGTCAAGTTCCTTTCTGTCTCTGAAGGGTGTGTCTCTTTCTCATGCATTCTTATTCTGTCTGTCTTTCACCGGTCTACTCTCTACCTTTGCAAGAAAAAGAGTAAAATTACACTATAAGCTCCAGCCTGTATTGAAATTAAATGGTTTTTTTTTTTTTCTGTAGGACCTCTGAAAAAACTGCATTGGATTTATTTGACTCAAATTTCCACAAGAATAAAATACATCTCTTTAAATCAGTTCATCATTATCTTTACTCACTTTGGGCAACAGTGTTAATGATGTATATTTTGTTTGTATGGAAATTGTGTTTACATTCAAATCAAATAAATGTGATGAATTACTTTTTTATCTCCCCATTTCACTATTTTCTCTACTTTCAAACTGAACAGGTTAGATTGAGCCCTGAATGTTGAACATTATTTAATTCAGCTCTGCATGATTGCACAGCATTGCATGGCGGTTCTGTAGGAGCCTCCCTTGGGGTCCCCCAGACATTCCTTTCCAGTTCATCCTTTTTTTCTGAGAAAAGCTAGACTAAGACGTCAAAGAGAATCCATAAATGTCAGAGAAATATAGTCTCGCTTTGGCAGGGACCTCTGAAGTTCTATGTGAAGTCAGGGCTTTAGGCTTATGCTTTGTCTGACTTGTCTGACTAATGATGTCATGCTGTTGATTAGACTTTAAGAGACCTGATTCTTAAGATCAGTGACATCAAATATGACTCTTTCATATCTCTGTGTTATTATATAATAAGCTCTTCGTTTTATAAGCCAGAACAGCTTTTGTTGGAATATGCTAAGAGGGATAATATATGAACCCTTTCCCTTTATGTAATATTATACAGTGTATTCATACAGCAGTATAGAAGTGGTGTCTGGAGTTGATATGCTGCTTCACCGGGAGACATAAGGTGAGCCCCATTCACAGCAAGGAAAACTTGAATAGTTCAGGCTTAATGCCTTATTTCATTTTAGTCTGAGAAGGAACACAAGAGACAGGCTGTGCTACAGCAAAAAATTTCCTAATTAGGGACTAATTTTCATCCATCATTCCTGACGGAGGCTGTCCTGACTAGAGAAACACAAGTTAATCAACACGTTGTTATTCTGGCCCTGTGATGTTTACCCCTGGCTCTGCTGAATATGGCTGTGCATTTTCTCTGAGCTTCTCTCTTTGAGGATGATAAAGAACAACAGCAAAGCAGCAGTACCGTGTTCAATTCATCAGTCTGGTTCTCATATCATTCGTGCAAAGCTGCTTTTTAACTGAGATGTCAGAGGTAGTTGCCATGGTCCTTATGTCGCTAAGGGCTTAACTGTCCTTTCACTTTTCCTCATGTTTCAAAATAGCTAATATCACATCAGCGCTTTGCTGTCAGCCGATACTGGGGCCCCAGCCTGGGCTTCAGGACCTCGAGGCTGGAGAAAAACTTAAGAACTTGAGCTGAAGTTGTTCAGTCTGGCTGTGATTTGGCTGCTGTGTCTAAGCCTCCAAAGCTCATGCAGATCACACTGGCTTAAGGAGCTCCATTATTCACTTAGGCCTAAAATTTATGACCTGAAACTGACTAGCAGTGTGCTGTCAAAGATACAGCTGGATCTACAGTTGGCATTAAAACTCCTGTAAAGAGCTACAGTGGACCCAAAACATATTTGGACACTTAAAATATATTAAGTTCACTGTGTTCAAAAATAAAAGTGGTGTTTATTTTAAACAGACTATTCTAAGACATTTTTTTTTTCTGGTAAAGTATTCTTTCACAAAGGGCAGTTGGTGGGCTTCTGTTATTTGTTGAGCAGTTTCTTAGCAAACATCTGCAGGTTTACATCCAAAATACCTTTATGAACTTCTGAGTTCATAATAACATTAATGAACACAAGCCCACCAACCTGTTGTAAGAAAAACAAACCCAGACTTTGACGTTGCTGTACACCTAACCTCCTTGCTTTTTGCAGGACTGTTAATTCTTCTCCAGACTTTTCCCACACAGAGTCTACCATCGGATTGATGTGCTAAAAGTCTTTCTCTCTGAAACAAATATCATGTTGCCAAACATTTTATGACATAACCTAAAGAGCTTTATTACAGTTTATCAATAGTTAAATGGTTAAAGTGTCCAAATACTTTTTGAGGTCACTGTATAAGATTCTATCAACCGAGAGACACCAAGAAATCATAAGAGCAGTGTTCTAGTACTGCAGTGTCGCAGTGTCTTTTCACCCAAGCAGTGTCTGTGAGCAGATGCTGCACTCAAATTAGCTGCTCTACCACTTTTACTCACTACTAAAAAGTCCGCTCAGTGAGATGGATATGAATTAGAAACAACTCCCCTCCTGAGTCCAGTCCTATAGTTGTGTGAAGGTTATTATTCAGTGTCTGCACAGTGAACTCTCTGATGATATTCGACATGAATATTACATGCGCAGGTTTTTACAGCAGAGTCATATCAGGAGCTGAACTAAGAGTGAAATCTCATCTGCCTCTCTCACAGCAGATTTGATTTCACACCCTCTATCAGAAATGATCTTTATCCCACTCAAGTTCACAACAAGAGCGTTAATATTTTACCAAGATGGATTTTAGGCAGGAGGTGTGTTTTCCCACTGTGTCCTCCAATATACTTAATCAGAATGTATTATCCTCTAATCTGTTAATGAAGAATCTGTTAACGATTCTCCTCCTCTGCTCTACAGAAGCTTCATATAAATAAGTAGAAAGCTCACACTACCATTAAAATCATTGTTCTCTAAATTTCAAACAGTGTGTAAGAAGTTTTAAAAATTATTTTTTTATGAGTATCAGACCTGTAGAAGATTCCATGAAAATTCCATCAAAAACTACTCACTGTCATTTTGTCACAAGAAATGAATATAAAAAGTTTATTATTGAATAACATTTGCTTTTTTACCCTGTTTTAGTGTCTCATTGTTTTATGTTTGGTTTCAATGTACGCTGTAAGTTATTATTAAATAACAATTATTGATATAGAAAAAAAAAAATATATATATATATAAATACAGGTTGAAACATATATATATATATATATATATATATATATATATATTTTCAACCTGTATTTAGACATTTAATGTTAATCTTATCAATTGCATTGGTATTGAAAACAGGTGATGCAACCATGTTTGGGTATAAAAGGAGCATCCAGGAATGTCTAGTCTTACCTAGCAGGGTGGTTGAGGCGTGCCATTTTACCAAAAAATGCATCAGCAAAAAATCCAACAGTTTAAAACAATGTTCCTCAGCAAGCAATTGCAAAAATTTTAGGTATTTCACGCTCTACAGTGGAACAGCATTGTAACATCAAAAGATTCAGGGAATACAGAAAAATCTCTGTGCGTAAAGGAAAAGGCCAAAAACCATAAATGAATGCTCATGACCTTTGACCACTCACACAGCACTGCGTTAAAAACGACTGTTTTACTCATTTTTAGGAATTTCACTGCTTTCTGTGTTTATTGGCATTTCACTTACTGCCCCACCTTTTTTGGAACTGGTTTTTATTTGTAAATTAAGCTGTGAATATATGTGAGCATAATTTGCTCTTTTAGAGAAAGAATGAGTTTCCCACAGGGAAGCATTTGCGGTAATACGTGAAAAGTGTAGTGAAGTGGGCAGAGTTTTCACTCCTGCCTGATCCCACACAGATACCAAAAACCTTAGGAAAAGCAAAAGTAACCATAATTGTTTTTTACTATGTTGCTCAAGTGTTTAAAAGGTGGATACAACTTCATAAGAACAGCTTTGCTAGGACATTTTTTCACGTCTCTCTGACCATAAGACCTGTGCTCTTAAAGTCTAATGGCTGTAGTTTTGAATTTGAATTTGTACCAGGAACTGTTGTGCCTGACTTGCACTTGCCTGATACACATGTAATTTCTTTTACTCTTGATCTGAGGTCAGTTTTCACAATCATGTCACCTGTTCTCATAGTTGTACCTTACACTTCCTGCCGTCCACAGTTTCCTCGTCAAACTCCTCTCCGATGTGGAAGTTGATCTCCGTGGTGCGCACAGAGGTGGAGGTCTTGATGTAGAACTGCTCCCCGTCCTGTCGGATCTCCACATGGGGTTTGGCGGCGGCTGCCCCAGCCACCTTCCGGAGCATGGCGTTCACGCCTGAGGGAGCACAGCATGGGGGTCATAACGAGCTGCTCTGCTGCCCAGACGACTGCCCCTGCCCAGCCCCACCCTGTCTGAGAGCGCTAACCCCAAACACAAGAACCCCGACCTCTACACAAAATCCAACCGCCGTCATGCTGTTAGAAACAGCCAGAATGTTCTCTACCGAGACCACTCCCTGTATTGAGAATATACTGTTGCAATACCCAGGACAGCATGAGAACACTTTCGATTATGTGACATCAGATAGGCTTTCACAATTCAACAAATATTAAGTTATCTTAACCCTCACAAGTAATATAATTCAATTTTCAGTCTACATAAAGGGACTGCAGCAGGGAGAGTTTGTTTGTACAGGGCCAATTGCAGACGGAGCACCGTAAACTCTGACTATAGTGCTATAGTGTCACTGAGGAGCAATCTGAGGAATTCTGGATCTGCAGACTTAGACATTTGGCTTGTTTTTCTCACATTGCAACTCAACCTCTGTTTAGCTGGGCTGGACCAGAGTTGTGGTTTTAAAAGCTGTAGAAACAAAGCCAGTAAGGCAGTGAGTGACTTATAGGCGGTATGGCATCAGCATGTTCTGCTGGTGAAAACAGGGAAACGACATTCTCGAGGGAACAGTCAACCAGAGGTTCGTCCTTTCAAAGACCTTCAGCCTGTTCATGTTTGTCTTCAGTTTCTTCTATACCTGCATTAAGCCTGAGGTGGAGGGTTGCCTTCTCAGACCTGTAAGATTCCTGAACACTTGATCAGTTGCTAGATTTTTTTTGCTAAATTCACTGGTGTGGCTGTGCTCATGATGCATAAAGTAAACCTGATCTTCTTAGTTATTGCATTGCAGTGCTGCCCTGTCACCAACAGGTCATCTTTCTGAAAAAATCATCCCTAGGTTGAGGGTAATTTGAACAACTCAAACCCATTCTTTGTATTTGTATTTGAATAAAATGAAACAGCACATAAGAAATACTAGCGTATGAAAATGCTTGGATTTTAGGACATTTTGTGTCCAGGAATGAAATTCATTTTTTCCTGGACAGACTACCAAAATCCAAGGCAATCCAGGAAAATCCTGGACGGGTGGCAACCCTACTGAGGTGCCCAGTTCTGGTCCTGGAGGACGAGGCTTAAGCACAGTTTGGTGATATCCCTGCTCAAACACACCTACCAAACCTAGAAACGAACTGAAAATCAGCAGAGAGAAATCACCAAATTGTGTGTACAAAGAACCTACATTACCAGAGCTGGAAATCTGATCCTAGATCAGCTTAGACAGACGACAGGCCCTGGTGCCAAGCCTCACGGCTCCAGCAGATGAGCTGATGACAGATCAGAGGGCAGAGCTGTATCTGCACTTCACATGACCATGTTGATGAGGTTGTTGACGAGCGTGTCTCTTTTTACAGAAGACTTCAGACACAGTGGGTGAGTGATTTCTACGGGCAGTTGTGGTTAATTCATGTAGTCCCTGACAGAGCTACAACAAGGAGGGACACCAGCACCGGGTACAGTATTTACGAACACAGATCAGTATCATTAGCAACACATTAGAAACTGTGTTCTTTGTTCTTAAGATAAATTGATCGCTTGATTGAGTCTTCATTTGCAGATTTTTTAAGAACCTTATTTTTTTATACTCTGTAATTCTCTGCCTCTTCCCTTGCCCTACTTTCAAGAAGTGGCTTTAAGATATCTGAAGATATAAGAAGAATATGGTAGTCTGTACCTCCACCTCTTTGCCTTTCCACAGTCTAACCCTATATCCATGTGCTTGGCTTTCAGGCTGCAGCGCAGAAACTCTTATCTCATCTCTTGCAATCTGCCTTGCTGATATTACAACACTGCAGCGCACATTGATCAGCGGTTAATGCACTCAGCCATAGTTTGCATACAAAAAGAATGAAGGGGGTTATTAGTCTCACTTATCTACTCGCAGAACGTAAACATCCCGAGTCCAATCTCTATCAGATTTGATTGTGAAGAGTAATTCAATCTGGCATGGTATGCACTCCTGAAGGGCCGGGGGTGAACGCTTTTCTTTTCTGCCACACAACAGTTTCAGTTCATTCACTTCTAGTGCAGTAAAGATATAAGCAGCTGGCCGGGTGTGTTTTGTTTCAGTTATTGTGGATGACAATTGCAGCTTATCAGACACAAAGTTTTCTCTCCAAGCAACTGATGTTTGATCATCTTCCTCAGTGGCAGCTTTCATCTAATCTCTGCTGTCTTCTCATTTCAGCTTTACAGAGCATTCTTTAAACCCCTTTGCCAACAGACCTGTAAAACACGGACCTCATATACGAACATAGACTACTACAACGAATCCCCGGATTGTACCCTAATCTTCAATCAGTGGCAAAAACTCCAGTATATAACTGACCCAGTTTGTGCAGACTGTCCTGCAGGGTCGCTATGACCAAGACTCACAGAGCCCGCTGTCTGTTTTGCAGGAATAAAGGGGTGGGGAGGAGAACAAAACGCACACCAAAGGCAAGACACATGGGAGAATTCCTGCCACAGAGGTCCAGTGTGCTCTACTTTAATGTTAAACATGGATAATTAGTCCTCTATAAGCTGCCTGCCCTTCTACTGTACAATAGAATGTCTGTTCCGATTGAAATTCAAGTGCCGGCTCATCACAAACCACACCGAGTGGTGATAAAGTAGCATGTACTTCTCTTTACCGCTTTTCCTATAGGAACGCATTAACATATGATGAAGTCTTAAGATGTGGTGATGGCTTTCAAGCAAATGTGAGGAGACCATGAGAAAAGATGTGAATGTTACAGTCATCAGGAATGGAGAGAGAAGCGGTCTTACCCAGGGCTTTGAGAAGTTCATCAAAATTCTCGCTGCTCTTCATCTTCCAAGTGCCGGCAAAGTTGGGGTGCATTTTTCTCAGACAGGGGTTTGGCCAGGAGAACCTGCAACACGCTCTGCTCGCTCTCTTACTCTCCCTCTTCTGCTCTTCTACCTCCTCTTCTTTCTCTTCTTCACTCGCCCTCTTTACCTCCCTCCCCTCCCTCTCGCTCTCTCTCTCCCTCCCTCTCCTACTTCAACTGTCTTCCTCGCTCACCACACAAATATACACTCTCTCTCTCTCTCTCTCTCTCTCTCTCTCTCTCACTCACTCATCCTCTCTGTCCCTCTGCCTCTGTCTGTGCCTCTGCTCTCTCTCTCTCTCTGCACCACTTGCTCCAGACAGGGTCTTCAGTCTGTCTCCTCAGTTCCGCCCCATCCGTCAAACCACAGCCTTGAGCAACCTGTTTCTGCAGAAGCTGAAGCGCTACAATGCTCAATGCCTCTGCATAACTCCCACATCATTCCTATAGAAATACACGGATCTCCTGACCTGTTTTAATTAAGATGCCTCTAGAGCTTTCGTCTAAAAGGGCTTGTGTTTTATTCGTGATGTGGTGCATTTTTACCCCCTTAAACTGCAGGCTTATTGTTTAGTTATTAATCTTAATGCTTCATATCCAGTATGAATTATTCAGTAAGTAACCTTACTATAAAACTGATATGTAGCGTTTGTAGTTCTGAAGCTTAAAGGTATAAAAGAATGGTCTGACGAAAAATCAAATTTACACAATTTTCTACTTACTCCAGATTTAGTTGATCAGCCAAGACACATCTGAAAACCCAAATTTTGCCTCTTTACTTTAGAATGGGAGCATCGAGGCTAACATTGCTAACAATCACTATTACTCACCCAATAGTCACCCAAATAGCCCAAATCATTTCCATAAAGATGTATCGCCAAAACGTCTCTTAAACCACATCCAAATCTTCCTGTGATCTGTAAAAATCAACAAAAGCTCACTGTGTACCTGAGGGCTGTAGACAGTCATTTTAGACTAGTACAGCAGGAGTAGAATCAGTTTTAGTGACAGTGACCCTCATAAATATGGATGAATCTGATCCAAGATTAGTCTTGTTTTGTGATACCAGCCCTGATCTGAAACGTCTGCAGTTTCTTTCATTTTTATAGCTCACAGTAAGTCATACTGTGTCCTAAAACAAACTGACTAATCTGAGTGACCTTAATTAAGACCTGGCTGCAATTTGAGTGGGTTTAGAGAAGTTTTGGTGATGTATTTTTATAGAGGCTATTTGGGTGACTATTGACTTCTGCTCTTTTTTAGCCATGTTAACCTCGTAGCTCCAGTTCTAAACTAAAGAAGAACATGTCTTGCCTGATCGAGTAGATCTGGGGTAAGTGGAAAAAAAAGTGAAAAATTGTGTAAATTAGTTTTTTTGACAAACTATTCCTCTAAGGGGTTAATGTTGCTCATCTGTCACAGCTGTTTAGCAGTGATCACTGGAGTCTTTTTCATGCTTCTCCGTTCTGTATTTCCATTCCCTTGACAGCTGCAGATGGTGTTGTGGGTTGGTGGCGTGCATAAAGCCATGGCGCAGAATTTAGCAGCCACTCTTTTGTCAGGCAACATCTCCTCCACTATCCATTCTCGATTCATTATTTATATATAGCAATGCGACAGAAGTCTTTGAAGCCAAAACAAGCAGCTGTCATCTGAATACAAATCAGCATCATTTACACCTTCGGATCTTTGAGTGTTCTTCATTCGCTGTCCTTAAGAATTTGAAATGTGAGCTGTAACAAAAAAAAAAAAACAGATCCTTGTATTTTGACACTTGCCTGCTGCAATTCTCTGCATCTTCTTATGGCCTACTTTTAAGGAGAAGCTTTAGCATATCCTAAAAAAAATGGTTAGAAATGCGGTGGTTTGATGTGCACAGTTTGAAATGTAGGCCAACAAAAAGAAGGGGTGTGGGATGCTGTTTGGGCAGAAAAACCAAAACCCCAGACTCTTCTGAAGCCCATTGGACCGCTAGAGGGAGAGGATCCGCAAACGCCCCCTACTTTCCCCGCTAGCTGTTGTTTCATTTGTGTTGTAACCACAGTTTGTTTTTCTCAGTCAGAGTCACTTAATGCAGTATACAGACTGTGCATCATCATGAGTAAAGCTGACTTAGACTCCTTGGTTATACTAAGGCCTTTAAGACCCAGCCCTGTTGTTCAAATTTGTCTGGAAATTTTAGTGCACATTTTCTATTTATTTGCTTGAGTTTAATGTATTGTAAAAAATAGAACATAGAATAGAAAATGCGCTATAACTTTTGTGCATGCCATAGTTTGTTTTTTTTATTTTTCCACTATGTTAAATATAGCAAATAAACAGTAACTGTGCATTAAAATGTGCAGAAGTGTGTTCTCTGTAGAGGATGTGTAACTTCAACAGAATCAACAAAACATATCATTTGACCAGGGGCACCCAAACAAGTCACCCTCCAACATTTTCCCAAGAAGGGCATTAAACCGAGTGTTTTAAACTTTCAGTTTTCTCTGTCAACTTTTTCCATTTCCATTGGGCGTAACCCCCGGTGTATTGCATATTCATGAAATCATGATATTCATGAATCACCACACATTGATTGACAGCCTCTTTGCCAAAAGCAATTTTGTTTAACAAACAGCTCAGCAGAATTACAGTTAACTGAGTAACAGGCTTTCAGAAGTTTTATAGCTTTAAGCTTAAATAATTTTTTTTCATAAGGATTCATGAAAAAACTGCAAAATACAAAGAAAAATATGTTACATGCAAGCAGGGCAGTAACTAGGATCAAAATGTAAGTCCATTGCACAGAAGAGTGACCTACATCATACAGTGACCAAACAGCCAAATATGTGTTTTACACCAACTGTCAGTTTCTCCTTTAGCTGTTTTTTAACCAAATCATTGCTACTTTATTACTCTTCCGTAATTGTACTTTTTCCTTTCATTTATCCCTTTCCATAAACTGCCATTACTGTTCCATAATTTCCAGTTACCCTGTTTAATTTTATTTAATTAATCATTTAATTATTTATTTACCCATTTATTTTCAGCTGAAAGCACAGGCTGAAACTTAGATACACTATATCAGTTGATAGTTACATTGATTTTATTTCGATTTTATTTCATTTTCCTCTCTCTGTCTCTCTTTCTGTGTCTGTCTCCTTTGCTTTTTTGCTCTTCCTGCATTTTGCAATCATAATCTGTTAATTACCATCATAAACTCTCACATTTTTCTCATAGCATGTTGTATGCTAGCTTATAGTATAACTCATGTGCTGCATACCTGTAATGTTACATTTCAATAAGTCAGAGTTACTCCGGGTAGCATTAGCATAGCGTCTTGTACAGAGATAAACACAGCGGGCAGGTCAGTCTGTGGTCGAATCACAGCTGCTCTGAGGTCAGCTGAGAACCAGTCACTGCTAATTATGTAATTTTGTCACTGTTTGCACATTAAATCTCATAAAACCTTTTCAAAAATCACAGAAGACTTTGGCGTGCTCATTCAAGCTAGTTACAAACATGACGGGTGCTGCCCATTAGCCCAAGGCTTGAGGCAACTGCAGATATCAACTGTTGCTTTTTTTATGCTAACAGGGTTAAATGCATAAACAAGTTACTCACAAAAGGAAATTTCCAATGTAAAAATCACGTGGCTGGCACATCTTCATGATTATATGACAAAAAAAAAAAAAAGCTCATGATCTTACTGTAATATCCATGCCTGCTTTATTTTATGTTGGTTCAGGCTGTGGTTGTAGATTGAAATGATGACAGACAAAAAGCACCAGACAAGAAAAAACATTCACTTCAGACAAAGAAATTTGAGCTATTTTAGTTTAGTCTCATTATTTGGAGTCAAGCAGACTATAACTAACTCTTTTTTGCATCCTAAAATGTATTTGCGAACTCTTTTTACTGCATTTTCTCAATAATTTTACTGTCCAGTAGAGCAATGTGGCAGGGCAAGTTGATTTCGGAGCTCATAAATATGCAATATAAGGTTGTCTGTGATTCACTATAGACAATTAGTGTCATGTATGACGTTTGAGACAAAACCAAATGATGTGTAATTAAGAGAAAATACTGTGCTGGGCATTTACATTATGTTCCCACAGCAGGCCGAATATTCTCCCAAACTAAAATCAGTAGAAGATTCCATCCAAGAGAAGATACTAATGATTAATTGAAATTTCTATGTTTCTTAGCTTTGCATGATGTAACCTATCACTTTCTATCTGTGGTCATTAGTGTCTGGTCAGAAGGTTTTAGATTAGCTCTTATGTCCTGTGGTAAAGAAGGCTTTACTTCGTAGCCATAGAGTTTGCATTGTTTGAGAACTGAACTCTGAGAAACAGATGTATGTACCCCTAGATGTATTTCTTCGTTTAGTTTCTTTATTGCCAGCAAAGTAAATGTAAATGTGAAAGTGTTCTTCTTTGACAGTATTATAGACTTAGCGTGGGATTTCTTCCCTGCTGACTAAGCTCTTTCTGTCTCTCTCTCTCTCTCTCTCTCTCTCTCTCTCTCTCTCTGTTGATTTTTGTGTTGTGGAGTTCACCAGGGTCTTGATCTTCAAAGCTGGGCTCATCCCAGGAGGAGACAGAGGTGTGGCTCAGCTTAAAATCCTCAGCGCTTCACCCTGTCACAGCGCTTGTTGCCAAGAGAATTGGTCCTGTCTCTGTGATTAGGATATCAAAGAGAGTCACAAGCAAAATTTAAATAAATGCAAAGATTCTTTAACACAACAAATCCCTGTCTTTGCTACTTCTTAAGACTTTTTGAAATGTTTCCAGAACACACTCCACATGTGTAAAAGTGCTGGCCTCATGCAAACACGTCATTAAAGTCAAACTGATGCGCACTGTAGTAAAACCAATGTGATCAAATAAAATGCAAACCTCAATTTCACAAAAGGTGGAATAGTATGTGCAATGCTAATAAAACAGAAAGAAGTGATTAGCCTATTTGGTTTGAACTGTATTAAACTGAAAACAATATAAAACACAGTATTTTATGTTTTACCTTACACATTTTATTTATTATTATCATTATCATTATTATTATTATTATTATTATTATTATTATTATTATTATTATTATTGTAAACATATTCTCATTCAAATATTATGCATGCAACACATTTTAAAAGTTGGGGCAGAGGCATGTTTACTGCTGTTTTACATCACCTTTAAACAACCTTTAATGAATCATTTCAGGACTGAAGACACAAAAGGATCCAGATTTGAAAGCATAATTTTGCCAATCTTCTGTTATCCAAGTCTGTAGTTGTGCGGCTGTTTGGTATTTTGCACTTCATAACACGCCACACGTTTTCAGAGGGAGAAAGGTCTGGACTGCAGGACGGCCAGTCTAGCACCCACACTCTCTGATCACATGTAGAATGTGGCCTAGTGTTGTCATGTTGAAATAAGCATATGTTGCTTCAAAATGTGTAAATGTGTGTCTTTCAGCATTAAAGGTACCTTCACATGGGCAAGTTACTCATGACATGGGCACAAATACCCACCCACACTATGACAGTCCCTGGATTTAGATGGTCCTTTTCTTCTTTGGTCTGGAGAACACTACATCCATTATTTCCATAAACAATCTGAATGTGTGACATTACAGGTCACAGGCATTCAGTTGTGGTTTTTGGTTTTGGTCTTTTTATGCACAGAGATTTCTCTAGATTCCCTAAATCTATTGATAGTAGTATACACTGTAGAGGGTGAAATACCTAAAATCATTGCAATCGCTCATTGAGAAAAATTATGCCCTGAGCCAGAGCCAATCAAATTCGACAAGTAAATGAGGTCATACATATTAAAGATGCTCTAGTTGGCTGTCAGAGCTGAGTGGTTCAGGATTGTGTGGTATTATGAATCGCTACTGCCAGTTTTAAAAGGAAACTCACGGCCTGCCTCACATCACACAGGCAGTAAAACTCACCAGTAATCCTGTATCCACGCTATTTGCTCTTAACGGCATGGTACATCTGTCAGTGTGCTTTATGAATCTGGCCCAAAGAATGTCTACCTTATTAAAATATTCTGTTGGCTGGGAACAAGACTGTGTGTGAAGAACGGTATCATCAAATAAATGTTTTAGTCATACTTGTAGTTAGTTCAATTTAAAAAGCAAAAACTAAATAACTATAACATTACAGGTTATGAGGGACAGATGGCCTACATGAGAGTTGGGTCCAGTCATTTATTGATTCATTCTGAAAACATTTTTCTAGGAAGCCAAAAAAACAAAATATTCAGGGAAAAACACACTGACTCAGTGTACTGAAATTCTACTTTGGTGAATTAATTGCAGCAGAAAAAGGCCATTTCACCGTCTTTCAGAGCATTTTAAAGCACCCGCTCAATTAGCCTACACAGCCCTCTTCAGCTGCTTCTGCTGGGAAAAAGCCACTACAGACCAAAATAACATCAGTCGGTTTTGGGAACAAGCGCGTGTTCATTATAAACAAAACCAAAAGATGTTCAGAAGAAATGGGAAAAGAGTGCATTTGGTCTTTTCCTCCAGTGCTTTAGTCAGACAGGCCGGGGTTCAGGTGAAGTCAAGTGGCGTGCTTTAGATAAGTAACCTGCCTTTTCAAGGACCTACTAATTGCCACTTCATGCGGAAAAAGTTTCCTTGTAAATATGTGTACTGTCCTTAGAGTGGCTAAGAAGACTTGGCAAGTACAATTCTCAACTGAATCCAGCTAAGAAGGATGCATAAGCAAAGAAGCATCCACAGACCTTATTCAGATGGCAGGGAGGTGATTAGGCTCAGCACTTTAATATGGAAATGTAATGTAAAACAACTGAACAATGACGTAGAACATGTTTTGCAGCAGTTGTAATTACAGCTGCCTCAAAATTAAGTAATTATTAAAAATAATTGGTTTAACTGAAAAACAAATGTGGGACTGTGTCTTTCATTTCTCAGAAACAAAAAGAAGAGTTTCTCCCAGTCTAAATATCCAGTAATTCAAAGATAATAGAGTCCAGACCAATGTAGGAATATAAATGTTAACATCTGTCCTAGTGGTTTCTATCAGCCTCGTTTGGATAACAGAGATACAGAATACTTCGATTCAAACTATGAAAAACTGGCAAGATTTTAAACCACACATCCTATTTAAAAAGAAGAACAGGGTTTAAAAATATGGGTGTGGCAACCGCAACTGTTTTATTTATTTTTTTTAATTTAATTTTTTCTTTTCACATTATTACAAAAGCAACTCATCAGTGTAAGTGTGAGTGAAGATGTCTTAGAGACAAAATAAGTGCTATGGTAACAAAAAGATTTGCCATATTAAACATAAACGTTTATGATAAAATACACTTTTATTCAGAGCATCATTTTACTGGCCTACTTTCATGAATCAGTCTGTCTTGTAACATATTTTCCATCTACTGCTGTTCTAAAGATCCCTCCAAGGACAATAAAACACAACATTCAATCTCTCCCTTTTTCTCTCTCTCTCGCTTCAAAATCTAGGTCAGTTAAATATTACAATGTTAAAATCTCTTGGAATCTGTGGTCAAAGTTTATGGTCTTACCACTCAAAGAAACATGTATCAGCACAGCATAGCACACCTAAAATGGCAAGGTATTTGTCTTCAAAAACTGTGAAGCATGCATGTGTTTTTCAATGTATTTCAGTATATGTACGATATAAAATATGCAGACAGGTGACAAATTAAAGTAAAAAACTAAATAAATAAGTAACCACCATGAGTGCAGGTGCTTCCAGACAGGTGTACTGCATGATACTGTTGCTACACCTCTGAATCATGATGATGATGATGATCTCCATGGACAACCCACACCGCATCCACACCTCACACCTCAGACTGTAACTTCAACGTAATCTAGCAATTCTATACCTGCACTTATAGACTGACATCTTGTACATCTTATATATACGCCAATCAGGCATAACATTATGACCACCTCCTCGTTTCTATGCTCATTGTCCATTTTATCTGCTCCACTTACTATATAGGTGCTTTGTAGTTCTACAATTACAGACTGTAGTCCATCTGTTTTTCTGCATACTTTGTTAGCCGCCTTTTACCCTGTTCTTAAGTGGTCAGGACCCCCGTGAGCAGGTACTATTTGGGTGGTGGATCATTCTCAGCGCTGCAGTAACACTGATGTAGTGGTGGTGTGTTAGTGTATGTTGTGCTGGTACGAGTGGATCAGACACAGCAGGGCTGCTGGAGTTTTTGTGCTGCAGACTCACTAATTGCATATATGGAAACGTGTACAACTGTATATATCATAGCCTTTATTTCATAACTTACATTACTGTACAAAACTGTGCATTGGAAATGGTGCAATACTGGTGTGTATTAATGTGTATATTGTGTATATGTATCTATTTAGTGTCTAATGTATATATATATATATATATATATATATATATATATATAATTTTTTTTTCATTTTTTATATACTTAAGTACTACAAGGAGGCTACGCACCTAAGATTTTCACTCACCTTCGCACCTGTGTAAATGTGATGTCACAATAAATGTGATTTGATTTGATTTGATACAAGTCTCGAGGAGGATGAGTGATGCAGTCGCCTTTGTCAAAGAGGCAAACAGGCAGTAATAAATAAGTTTGGTTTACAAACTTACTGTGTCATGACTGTTCTTGTTATTGATTATCTTAAAGTGACAATGTGCAGTTGACCATATACACTTACACATATAAGCCGCAGTTAATTAAGGTGCATTATTTATGTTCTGTGCTCATATTCTGACAGCAGGAGGACTGTTTACTCTGTAACATCAGAAACAGGACATTTTAAAGAAACATTTTCATGCCAGCATGGCATGACTCAGTCTGTCTGGTGTGACGGCATGACAAAAAAACGGGCATTTTACCTAATTTACTAATGAAAAAATCCATAAAGAGCGAGTTTATCCCTAAACTTTTTTTGATTTTAGCTTCCACTACCTTCTCGCTCTCGCCTTGGAACTGGTTTTGTGAAGCCCCATAACACACCGCGCGCAGTTGTCATGGCGGCTCACTGGTGAAGAAAGACAGCGGTATGTTGTCGTTACAGTGCTGAGTCTTCTTTAGCGGTTACCTTAATCTCTTATCACTTATGTCCTTCCTTAAAGCACACGAGACTGGTTTTCCCGTAACGTAACTGTTTAAACGTTGGTAGAGTCGGTTAGTGACTCCGTTTCGCTGTCTGATAATGAAGTGTAACTCGGTTAGCTAGCCTGTGTTCGCTGTAGCCAGGCAGGCTAGCACGGAGTTCAGTTCGCTCACTCAGGTTTAGTCCCTGTTTGTCTGATTGGAACTGATCAGTCTTTTTGTATCTGACTTGTTTTGACTGGAGTTGTTGTTTTCATGGAACAGAACGACTTAAACGGCGTAAGACGGAGGACATCACCACAGACAACACGTGAAGATGAGTACTCAGGTGACTTCAGTTTCTGGCTAACCTAGCTAGGTTAGCTAGATCAGCTAACTCGACTGTATTGTCTATGGAGAGTTTGTTCAGAATGTGTTTCATTACCTAAAATATCCAGCTGTAACTATCCAGACCTTAGCTTTCCTGCTTGGCTTTATTACGTTGTTCTTACACTCTCCTCTTTTTCAATTCAGTACAGCATACTGTTCAAACAGGAGCATGGTAAGTGATGTTAAGTGTGTTCATGATAAATATGCCAATGGATTTGTATTAATTAATTCATAACACGTCTCTTAACGTCTCGTAGGATTGTAGTCACGGTATTCCAAAGCTATCTGACCTGTCAGTGCATGAAAGCAGTATTTTCTGTTGTGTTTCTGTGCCTCTATGACTGTCTCTGTTTCTGTAGCCCATGATGATGCCATATGGACAGCAGCTTGGGGAAAAAGTGAGAAGGATGGATCAGAGACTATTATCACTGGCTCTCTGGATGACATGGTGAAAGTGTGGAAATGGTAATGTGTTCTTGGCAGGTTATGTCAGTATGCATGGCTTCAGTCATTCCTGCATAGTTAATTGATTTTCCTCCTCTTAACACATGAACAAATTCTGGCAATTAACTGCAGAGGTAAATCCTGTGTTTGAGTAGGAAAATAACCAAACCATCAAACTAACCAATCTGCTCATCTTCGAGCCACTAGTTTATGTTCCATAGTTTTGTGTTAGTAATATTCCTTTGCTGTGTTCTTGACTGCCTCCTACAGGTCAGATGAAAAGTTAGAGCTGCAGTGGACTTTGGAGGGACATCAGCTGGGTGTGGTGTCTGTGGACATCAGCCACAGTGGCTCCATTGCTGCCTCCAGCTCCTTGGATGCTCATATCCGACTCTGGGATCTGGAGTCAGGCAAACAGATCAAATCCATGGATGCAGGGCCAGGTAAGAGCTGCATAGAGTAGACTTGATGATTGTGACTTGGAAGAAAAGTTGCCTTCCCAGCTTTATTAGTGTAATGAATACTACTCAGGATACAGATAGACCTTGTACATACCCTACTGTATGTTTGGCAAAAGAGAGTATAATTTTTATATGGAGAGCCTAAGTTGGTCACATTAAGAGTAGCAAATGCACATTTGTGTCAGTAGCTTTTTTTTTTTTTTTTTTCATAAATAGTGAGGTCATCTTGCTCTTTATTAAATTGTGAAAGGTTTAGGGTGCCTAAAATATGCTCACCAAGCAATTTCCTTCAGGAACACTATACTAATACTAGGCAGGACCTCCCTTTGCTCTCAAAACAACCTCAGTTCCTCATGATATGGATTCCACAAGATTTTGGAAACATTCCTTTGAGATTCTGGTCCATGTTGACATGATTGCATCATGTAGTTTCTGCAGATTTTCAGCTGCACTCTCATTCTGCGAATCTCCCGTGCTACCACATCCCAAAGGTGTTCTGCTGGATTCAGATTCAGTCACTGAGAAGGCCACTGAAGAGCGCTGAACTCATTGTCATGTTCATGAAACCAGTTGGAGATGACTTTTGCTTTGTGACATGGTGCATTATCATGCTGGAGGTAGCCACAGAAGATGGATAAATTGTGGCCATGAAGGGACGCACATGATCAGCAACAACACTTAAATAGGCTGTTTCATTCAAGCGGTAATTGATTGGTGTTAATGGGCCCAAAGTAAACCACAACATTTCCCACATCATTACACCACCTCCATCAGCCTGGACTGATGACACAAGGCAAGTTGGGTCCATGGATTCATGCTTTTGATTCCAAATTCTGACCCTACCATCTGCATGTTTCAGCATAAATTGTGATTCATCAGACCAGGCTACGTTTTTCCAGAGTTCAACTGCCCAGTTTTGGTTCTTGGCTGACAGAATTGGAACTCAACATGGTCCTTTGCTGTTGTAGCCCATCTCAAGTCAAGTCAAGTCAAGTCAAGAGGCTTTTATTGTCATTCCGTCTATGTACGAGTACACAGTGGAGCGGAATTATGTTCCTCCAGGAACAACAAGGTGCAGCAAGGAACAAAAAGTACAAAATTACAAAGTGCGAACGTGCAGACATAAGAGTGCAAACAAAAATTAAGCTAGAAACAATACAATAAATACGATAAATTAAACAGACATTAGACACAGTTAACAGACCAGACAGCGTAGCACCGACACAGTACAGATTTCTGGACGTGAAGTAGTGGAATAAGGTGCAGAGATATTTAACATGATGTTGTCTGTAAGTTACGTCAGATAACATACATATGCACAGCAGTTACTGAGGTAGTAAAACAATTACAATTACTGAGGTAGTAAAACAGTTACTGAGGTAGTAAAAACAGTGTAAACACAGTGTAACACATCTGCCTCAAAGTTTGACATGTTGTGCGTTCTGAGATTTTTCTGCTAACCACAAATGTACCTAGTGGTTATCTGAGTTACTGTAGACTTTCTGTCAGCATTGCATCATTCTGAGTAAACTCTAGAGACTGATGTGCATGAAAATCCCAGGAGATCAGCAGTTATAGAAATACTCAAACCAGCCAACAGTCATGCCAGGGTCAAAATCACTGATATTTTGTAGTATATTCTAAATATGCAAAAACATTTATTTTCATGTAATCAAAAAAATAATTATTTAGTTATTCCCACTGTTGCTGACATGTTTTGTTTGTTCATATTATCCCAGAAAAATATTTAAGGATATTCTATTTGATGTCCCCAGGGATTTTTTTTCTCATTAATATTTATGATAATTATTTGATGATCATTAAATAAAATTTCAGCATTCTTTCTTTGTTCACTTGATTTGTCACTCTTCGTGATTTAGTGTAAAATATCTTAATGTCTTGCTTACCGTCCTATTTTACATTTAAATAATCTGATTACCCTGACTCATTTAAGATAAGTGTACAAACCATTGTTAATGTATTTGAAAGTAGGTTAATCTATTCTTAAAGGCCCTGTGGAATCAGAAATTGTAAGAATCCTGTCAGAAAATGCATAGAGGTGCATTCTAATCCTCTTATGATTTCATCTATGCATTCAGTCTGATTCTTTCTTGTCACTCTGCCTAGTATGATAATAAACATACTGATCATAATCATGATCGTTGATTCCGACTGCAATAAGGGGAAAATCAGTTCATTTAATTCACAGCTTTACCATGTTCTACTAGAGGCGTGTCCTCCATAAGCTGCCTTGGGCAAGAGCACATGGAAAGGAACACAGGGCTCAGGGGATTCTGCTAATGCTACTGCAGGTGTGTCATGTGATGTAATGACCTCTTCCTTCTCATGTTGCAGTTGATGCCTGGACTGTAGCTTTCTCCCCTGACTCCAAATACATCGCCACAGGCAGCCATCTTGGGAAGGTGAACATCTTTGGAATTGAGAGTGGAAAGAAGGAATACTCCCTAGACACCAGAGGGAAGTTCATTCTGAGTATCGCCTATGTAAGACATCCGCCATTCTACCCATACATAAATTGTGACGAGGTGACGAGAGCTATATTAACAATCTGGAGGCAGTTTAAACTGCATAATGAATACTATTGAGTCACTGTGACAGTAGCTCATGTTTCTAGTGGAGAGTTAGCAGTTGGTGTCTGTTGACACCCCCAGTTCTCTCTGTGTGTTCTCTTATCTCTAAATAGAAATTTTTCTGGCATTGTACATATTATTCTCATGTACAGGTTAACAGGATGTATGAATATGTGAAAAGAAAATATAATATCTGAAGTGAGGTTTCTGTCTCTCACTTATACTCTTCTCTCTCTTTCTCTCTCTCTCTCCCCTTCTGCTTTTCCTTTCCCAGAGCCCAGATGGAAAGTACTTAGCCAGCGGTGCCATTGATGGAATCATTAATATCTTTGATATTGCAACTGGGAAACTGCTGCACACGCTGGAAGGTAAAATTATGCTTCAAATGTCCTTGATGTATTTTTAATGAAATATGTTAATCTAAGACCAAGCCCTGATTTTGGTTTGTTTTTTGATTATTTATTTATTTATTGTGATCTTGCAAGAGGAGTTGGTTGAACTGTTCTGTTAAATTTATCAAAGCGGATGGTTTGGGGATTCCAGTGGAAAAGTGTAGGGCATTTGCCCAGGCATTTCCCCTGCAGTCATAACCTCAGGTCTCCTGCTTTTGGCACTGTTTTTTTTTTCCTCTCACTGTGATTTATACCTCTCCATCTTTCTCATTTCTTCCATCAGTCACTCTCGCTCTGTTAAGCATATGAGCATGAGTGGAAGACTGTGACTGGAGAGAGTTTTATGGTAGCACTGTTTATTGGGTCTGCTAAGACTTTTAACTAGGCTTGCAGGATTTATATATATATATATATATATATATATATATATATATATATATATATATATATATATATATATATATATATATAAATCCTGCAAGCCTAGTTAAAAGTCTATATATATATATATATATATATATATATAATATATATATTAGACCCTGTCTTTGATAGAAGGGTAATTTGAATGGAATTATCCTTTGACAGATCTCTTTCTAAGGCTCTGGTGAAGCTCTCAGTATGTTGCTGCACTGTCTATCTCTTTATCCTCTCCACAGGTCATGCTATGCCCATCCGATCTCTCACATTCTCTCCTGACTCTCAGCTCTTAGTCACAGCCTCAGACGATGGCTACATCAAGATTTATGATGTGTAAGTCAAGCTCTGAGATTGTGGGGCTCATTATGCAGATGTGATGTTATGCTGTCATGTGACTTCTGAAGCTTCTGTTTGTTGGCATTTTGGTATTAAATTGTTACATTCTGTGAACATTTCCTGCAAAAAAAGAGATAATAGTTGTCTTCACTATGTAGTACTTTTCACAGTTAATGTGCATGCAGTTAATTAATGTTTATGTTTATGTTAATGTTATAGGCAGCATGCTAACCTGGCCGGCACGCTGAGTGGACATGCATCCTGGGTGCTTAATGTGGCCTTCTCACCTGATAATACACATTTTGTCTCCAGGTAAGAACAGAATTTCCTCTAATGAATGATCTCCAAGATGGGACTGATCTGTTCTAAGGACATTTGTTGGGTAATAATGTAATATTTTTTCTGTCCTTGTTGTCTTCAGCTCATCAGATAAAAGCGTAAAGGTGTGGGAGGCAAGCACCAGAGCATGTGTCAACACATTCTTTGACCATCAGGACCAGGTGTGTTTCTCATCTTCACTTTCTGCATGGCTATTTTTTTTTTTTCACTACTGTGCTTTGTCATTGTGGAGAATAGGAGCGGGCACCCCACATCATTGGGGTATTTTTGGAAGCCTCAGAGCTGAGGCATGCCTCTTCGTGTAGACAGGGGAGAGGATGAGATTAGTATCCTCAGACGACCTTCCTATGTCTTCTCTTTTGTAGATAGAGAGATGCCTGACTATATTAGCTGAGCTGTCATTTTAGTTGCGCATGTTATGTCACTGTCAAATGGGATTAGCCACTGTCACATTAGCAACTAATAGTGAATTTGTATGTGGCTGAAGGCTGATTTAATTCTCTCACTGGCTATAGATGCATTCGCAGACGATTTAAAGGATGTGTATATATGAGACATGTGATGTGTTTTTGTAGGTATGGAGTGTGAAGTACAACAGCACTGGCTCGAAGATCATTTCTGCTGGGGACGACCGAGCAATCCACATATATGACTGTCCCATGTGAAGCACCTAAAGGAACCGAAATCTCCTCCTTTACATCAGAGCCACTGGGCAGGAAGGCCTTGAGTGTGCTAATCCAGGATCAGCTATCCCCTGTTCATATGTAACTAAGTTTAGAATATAAATATGACCAAATAAGGATATGAAAGTCAAGACTGATCCTAGATCAGCACTATTAATATAAGAAGATGCATACAGTCCCTGCTGATTCTTAAGACATGGTTTTCCCCGTTCAGCCTGGACAGCTTTGTGCTCACTTCAGCTCACGGTCTGGAACTTTCATCCACCTCCGGCAATGAATTCTGTATCTGGTCCTCTCTGTATAAACAGAATCCTTTCTGTTTCTGTGAGCTATGATTCTGTCTGCTGTTGAATGCTGCAGAAAGCTCTGCACTGCTCCTTTTACCAGCTAGCTTTGGGTCAATCTGCAAAAAAGCAGTGCCTGCACACACTGTGTCTGAGATAATATGGGAATGATCATTTTCTTTTTTTATTTTATGGTTTTGTGAACCATTGCCAACTTGTCAGACATTAAACCTTTTTTAAATACTTCTGATTTGTTGTGCATTTTCTCTCTGTTCACAGAATTTAGGTGTCTCAGATGAGCGTAGACTATTTCGAAGTGCTAATATGTGGTGGCTGACACCAACATCCATTCAGTGCAGTACACCCTCTGCTGGACTTATTTCATTACTGCATGCACCCATGCATGGAGTCCAGCGCCTGAATAAAGTACTTGTAGGCGCATATGTGATCCTTCTTAAGGGTGTTACTTTGTTTATAACAACAGAAACAAAAATTGTAAGCTTTATGCCAAGGTACTGGCCTATACAGTGCTGAGACAAAGTATTAATGAGGATTCCAGTTTGTACTGGACCGGTATTCTAGGTCTTAGCCCTCTCACTGAGTAAGCTCACTTTAATAGAGAACTTATTTGGTAAAACTAAATGCCTACAGTCCACCTGTATGTGAATGTACTGGACTGAATAAATAAGTTCTCATCCAACACAAAGACTAGAAAATCTGTTAGTGCACTCTTTCATTTAATGAGCTCCAGTGTGATTGACACACATTTAGATTAAAAAGAAACACAATAAATGTATTCACATTCTCAGAAGGAATCAGTTTACTATAGCCTATACTATAGAAAGATATGTTACGTTTACAAAACGTCATTTCAAGTGTAAAACCTAACTTTGGCCCCAGAGCACACAAAATCTTTTATAGTATAACACAAGGCCTCTTGAAAGAGACACCAACAGACTTAAATGCCTGTGCACATATATACAAATGGCCCTCTATTCAACACAGTGAGATGGAAAGGAGCTAATGAGACCACAAGTGTAACTATTTCACTACTGACTCCACTTAGCACTAAATACATAATGACTCAACACTACATTCATTGTAACCACCACAGTCATTCTGACCAACGTCCCACCAGCAGTGCCAGTCCTCTGATTTCAGTGATGCCTGATGATTTAAAGTGTCACATATTTATCAGAGAAACAAGTCATTTGAATTTCCATTAGACACTCCAAAGTATATCTTCATAAAGCACTAAGATATTGGCATTTGGCATAAGGATAAAAAACAAAACAATTAATGGCACTGTATGCAGGGTTGGGCAAAAATTAATGATGGCTGATTACTGACTACACTAAAATGTATTAAGTAACATATTCCATTACAATACATAGTTATGTGTTCAGAATACATTTAGAATACGTCTTGGTGAGGCATATTGGAATTTTTTTCCTTGACGCTTCTTTACTGTTACTGGTTGGCAGTTTTCTTCACGTACTTATTCTGTTAATACATTTAATGAAAAATCTGCTTATAATTTAACTTCCAAAAATTCTCAGCTTTGCTTGGTCTCTCACTGCCTGCTTCAGTCCACTGCTGCTCTCACGACCTTCAGAGTCCAGTACAATACCAATACTAAGCTTATCGCCCGCAAACGTCCTACTGAGGAGATTGTTAGTTTGATCTTCCCTTAAAAGAGCTCAGTAACTATGAAATTAATAACTGGCTCACCACAGTCTACTCAGGCTTTAGTCAGAACTTCACTTTTTAGAGTCTGTCTAATGAGCATGTTTGCTACATGCTGTGTGCTGATTTTAAAAGAGTTATAATAAATAAGCATTAAATTCGTTTTTTTTTTTGAAGACCGACATTTTTTAATTTTGTTGGTAAGTATTCTAAAAGTATTCTCCTAAAATGTAAAAGGTAACAGTAATCTGTATACTGCTTTTTCAAAATGTAACCTGGACTGAATACAAATACTTCATTTGTGTATTCTGCATACGTTTTCTCAGTACTTATCTTCTGATACATCCCAACCCTGACTACATGTTAAGTGAATACTGCCTGAAACGTGATCATGTGTTGCTGACCAGGGACCACATCCAGAGCTTGCTGAGGTGGACAGGCATTTGCTGGATACAGAGATTTGTTTGTGGATGAAATCTGACCTGACTTTGTGTATTTAATGAGTAACATCATTAAGGCTCAGGTCCACTCTATAGAAATAGAATTGATTGGCACATCTCAGGGGCCTGACCATATTGATGTGTGCTGGCTGGTACCAGACCACAGCTTGTTTGCATAATGAAAGGGAAAGTGAGATCTGATAGGCAGTCACCCTGTGGCATTTTCACTGCAGATGTAACTTCAACCACTGAACTGTAGTGATCTTGTTATCCAGCCATTGTATTTGGATCAAGTTTGCATTCATACTAGATATACAAGAAAGACCTACTTTAGATTTCATTTGAGAGAAATATGCAAACTGTATCTGGAAATACTAGTTTTATATGGGCCCTTTATGAAGCACCTGTATGCATTACATACACTTAATTAGGCCCAAGAATGAGTGACAGAACAGTACAAAATATATAACTTTGTAAAAAGGAGGAAAAGAGTGATCACAGTGTGAACCGCCATTTCCCCTGGTCCACCAAAATGACCCACTGTAAAACCCACGCAGCCTGACCACATTTAAAATATCCCAAAAGGCAACTGTTTAAAAGGCAGAGAGGTCTGGAGAGCGAGGGCCAATCCATGAAGCTCAGTATGAGGTATAGTTGTCTTGGACTGTGTTTTAGCATCCCTGTAGGTTCCGCTTTTCACCAGTGTCTGGTGTGGACCAACTCGGGCCTCAGGCTGAGTCTCTTCAGTGTCTCGTAGCCGATGACAATGAGGATCGAGGTGGGAGTTGAGGAGATGATGCGGGCTGAGAGACCCTTCGTCAGACCCCACATGCCCTCTTCAGCCAAGAGCTGCTTAAAAGTCCCAATCACAGACGAACGGCCTTCAACCTCGGAGGAAAAGGCAATCGATTATGAACAACGAAAAGGGATTTACACTTCCTGCTACACAGGTTTAGATGAATGATGAATGAACTATGGAACGCTGAGGCGGGGAGAGGAGAGACAACTCCAGGCAGTGTTATTTCAACTCTTACAGCTTTGAAATATGCCCCTGCTATTTGATATACACTACTGATGGACTGTGAAGTGGTTGCAGATAAATATAAAGTACTGGTCCAAAGCCACAGACCACCATTTCCAGTGAAGGCAGCAATAAAGTAGAAATTATTCATTTTTCTTTATGAGGAAAATGGCATTAAATACATTTAGCAGAAAATTACACAGAAGCCTCAGTAACTAAATATAACATCAATTTTTTCAGTATTTAGTGTGTTTTTCAATTTTCAAAGAAAACTGGACAGATATTTTTCCAGACATTCTAAGTTCAGTCTTATGTACGTTGCATTTTCTGCTTCTCACAATCCAAATAATCCCAAACACAATCAGTGATGTTGACGTCTGTTCTCTGGTGGGGTCAGTGCATTGTTCTGAGAAAACTAGTAGCTTCTTTTTAATAGTTCTTGATCTTAGCCATGTGTCTGGGGTCATTATCTTACAGTACTATGGATTTCTTTCCATTTCCAACATTTTCCAGAGGGTATTGTTTCACATATTAAAACTGGTTTGAATTTATTAGCATTCATGATGCCTTCAATCAAAAACAAATCACCAACTCCAGATGCGGTTACACCAACTTGCACTGATCCTTCACTATGCTTGACTGATGGTTGTAGACAAGGTGTAAAGAGTATTTCTTTGGCTGCGTACACACTGCCTTTGGTTCCTTATTAGTCCCGTATTTAGACTCATCAGTTCATAAAACCTTACTCCACGTCTCAGATGTCCAGCTTCCGTGTTCATACTTTCCTCTTCATATTATATTTTCTTTTCTCAGTAATGGCTTCTTGACAGCTACACATCCTTTCAGACTCTTAGTGTTGAGTCTTCTCACAGTGGAAGGATGGACAGAAACACCTGTTGTTTTTTTCTTTAGATCTGAAGCCAGAAAGGAGCTTGATTTTCCTTTAAAGATGAAAGCTTTAAGTACTGTGTATCTGATGGTGTTTTGGTGGTCTAGCATGTCTTACCTGGTTGTTAGGAGTCCCTTTTTCTCTGTATCTTTTACCCGTTTTTTGAACTCCAATGCAAGTAGATTCTTTTTTACATCTAATCTCCTCAGAAATATCTTCTTTAGCCATTTTAGATGCACATGAGAAAGAAATGTGCAAGGCAGTTAAGGTGTGTTTGGGTAGTTGCTTGTGTGAATATTAGTGTCTTTTGATGTGAATGTTAGTGTTTTTGTGTTTCATGGTGAACATAATGCCAGTGACACCTTTGGGAAAATGTATTGCTGGTCAACTGGTTGGTTTTAAGATTGGACAGAAGGAGGAATTAAAGTGTCAGTAGGATGCACAAAAGCAGAGAGGACAAATTAAATACTGACTGACTTAATACTATACTTGGTGTTGAGGCTTTGTGTAAATTTCTGTTAAAATACATTTCCTGCTTTTTTATTTGACACTTGAAAAATGAAAAACTTGCAGAAAGCTGTAAAAAAATAAGAAATTTGAGATATGATAATAAGAAATACAGATGATTCAAAAATGACTGTGAAAGCTGTGTAGCATAAAGACTTCCTCATATTTCAGCAGTGTTGATCAAAAGCAGACAAGTTAATAAAATAACCTTAAACAGATCATTACATTATATTTATAATCATTTGAGTTATTATTGTATATACATGTATTAAAATGGTAAGCGATTCCAAATGACTTTGTCCCAGTAATGTACTGTCTTCTGTTAAATCCATACAATGATTTACTTTCACACTTTCACAGTCTTGTGCAGCATCATCCAGTAAGTTCTTCTCTGCACTCACCTTATTCACCCATATGGCACTATCCTGTATCACTACTGAGACTGACTGACACTGTGCACTCATACCACCACTTCATATTCACTTTTTCTCTTCCTCTTTATTTACATTACTATCCTGCTGTTTATAGTTGAGACAAAATGACTAAGCTATAACTTCATGTTTCATGTAATGAAGAATTTTAGATTCAAACCTGTCATTTCATTCCAGAACATAGACAGTCCTCAAATTAACTCCCCCTGCGGACCCTACAGGGCATAAACTTATTAAATCTTTTCCTGCTGCTTGTGTTGCGTTGAAACAATTTCCACTCTATTCTATTCCACTTTCAGACCACAGAATTATGATAACAAGAACTGCATTTTGCTAATGAATACCTTTAAACTCTAAATCAGCATCTTGTTTACATTAATCAGTTGGCAGATAAGGTGTTACAGAGGCTAATGCTGTAGTTTCCTGTGCGGCAAAACAACTCCATCGCCAGCCTCAACTCTCAATCAGTTTTACTGCTACATAATAAATCTTGACCAACCCTGTATCTCTCCAGTCCTCAGTAAGGTACGTATTTACCTTGGACTGGGTGCAAAGTACCTTATAGACCAAGCTCCTTTACTCATCCCATACAGCAGTATGCAAAACTTTCAACACCCCTAGTCAAATTACATGTTTTGTTGAATTTCCAAGTGAAACTTTTAGTGCACAATTTCTATTTATTTGATGAGTTTAACATATTTGAAACAAGTAAAACATACAACATGAAATGTGCCATTACTTTTGCACGGGTCACATTTTATGACCCCCCCCCCAGTATATTAAACTCAGCAAACAAACAGAAATGTGTAAACTTATTTTCACTAAGAAGATTAACAAAACATACCTTTTGAACTGTGTACTGCATATCACAGGAACAATCACTCTTACTCATTTACACTATTTGTCTCATCCATACAGCAGTGCACTCTGCTGATCTTATCTGCAGTACATGTTTGTTACGTGTTTTGTATGTTATATAAGGATAAATGTGTTGTAATTGCATTTTGGAAAATGTGTAGTAATTCTTCGATATCATACTGTGGGAAAGGAGAAACTGCACTGTGTCCCCTTTATGTGAGTGGAATGACAAAGCTGAAGTTCAGTTTTACCTGCACTCTGGCTCTCACTACGTCCATAGGGTTAGTGATGGTGGAGGCAGTGGCTGCAGCCATAGGCCCAGCCACAGCCTGCAGGAGGAGGTGAGGGCAGTTGGAGGGGGCCAGCCTGGACATCTGCTCTGTTTCAGTACACAGATAATGCATTAGTCATCATTTAGTATGTGAACACAACAAGGATTATGTTATATGCAGCTGCATATGCAGAGCCGTACAGAAGTCTGTACTATGTTCACAGTAACAAAACATGAAACCAGTAACACATGCAGTGAGCACGAGGGACATGCAAATTACTGAATACCCGGTAAACAATAACTTGATTGTTTACATGAACACTTGTTGCATAAGCAGTGCTGCGCCCAACCTCCTCTGCTTTCCTATCATCATTTGACAGGATGCGATAATGTGTGGTTTCAGACTGTCCACAGCCTCTTTTAACCTACAATTACACAAAACTTCTAAACACAGGCCAAACAGTGAACGTTTTTCAGAAAGCTAATGTTTTGTGTCTTTTCTGTGGCCGTGTTCTTCCCTTCCTCGTCATTCAGAGCTCACTGCCATGATGACTATATTTACGTTAAACATATATAAACCCCTGCACAGGGAAGGTAAGCCTAGAGAAATATCACAAGACAAAACTTTGAGAATTTCCTTCTCTTTATCAATTGTCATATGGTAAACCAGCAGCATCTGCAAATTAATGATTCTCAGGCTGTGAGGATTACCTGCAATATACAAGTATTCTCAAGATAAATAATTATTGTATATCATTATTTCTGAAATTCTGATCTCTTTTAGCTCAGATCAAAGGCAAATATAATATACTTAATCCAGATACTGATGGTCCACAGGAGCATCTGAATATTAGAGCCAAAAGTGTTAGATTAGGATCAGGGCTACACTCTGCGGAAGTTAAGATATCTAGGAGGAGGGGTGGACATTCTTGATGTACACTATGTTCTGAAAATAGTCACTAAGCAGTACGACAAAAGACAAATGTTGCCTGGGCTGAGCAGAAGTAAAATAATGAAGACATTTTCCATTAGAACTCTTTGTAATAAAAACAACGGTAGAGGACAAATAGCTGACGTTTTCCTTTACCTGCATAAAAGTGATAAAAAGGCCACCACAGGGCGCTGTTAGGGATGTAGGTGAGGAGTGAAGCCACATAGCCGCGATAAAACCCCCGAAAGCCATCTGCTGCAAAAATCTGCACCATAATGTCCTTGGTCTGGCCAAAAGTCACTTTATGTTTAGACGTGGCCATCACTATCTTGGGCTTGAGCTTAAAGCGTGTGAGATGTTCACCCTGGCCTTGCATCATGAGCTGCTGAGAGACCACGTCAATAGGCACAGTGATGCTCTGGGCCACCAGTGAGGCCGAGCCCCCTGCCACCAGGGACTTGAAGGTGTTGCTGGAGGAATAATGAGACACGTACTTCCTCACCAGCTCATAGGTGGTGATGTAGGCCTGACCTGAGATCAGCGTGAAGGTATTGACCATGAAGCCCCGGTACAGTCCCCGTACTCCTTCCACCTTTAGGATCTTAAAGAAGGCATCAAAAGTTCCATTGTACAGTGACTTTCCCTTCTGAACCTGCAGTCGAGTTCGGATCAGGGTGAATGGGTAGACGGTGGCACGGGTGGTCAACGTCATGAACACCCCCAGGGAGTAAAACTTCCTCTTGTCCAGGTCCTCCCATTCTATGATCCGGATGTTCCGTTTCTGCTGCATCATTCCAGCTGACGGTCACCTTCAACCCACAGGCCCCACACCGCACCTGCCCATCAACCTACAAAGACACATTGAAGAGGATGTGGTCAAGAGACGAAACAAAACAGGAGTGAAGATCAGATTCAAATCACTGCCACTAAAAATCTGAGTCAAACAGATCTTGAAAGCAACTTCAGCTAATATGTTGTTAGCACTCACTGCAGTGCGAAAAGACCAAAGGTCTTCAGATTACATGAGCCCATCAGCCTGACATGATTAGTGTGAGGTGCATTTCAGTGGCTATTGAACTGTTCAAAGGGCAATGGAACCACCTTTACCCACCTGACACCATCCTCACACAACACAAAACAAAAAAAAAATGAGAGGCTAGGAATGAACGGTAGATAACATATAATAGCTTTACAACGCTAATCCAACATTTTAACTCTGAATTACAAACATGTTTGTAAGTTATAAATTCAGATATTCTGAAATGTGTCAATATTGCTTGTAGAGATGACATGTGTACAGGTATTGGTATCAGGCCGACACGGGTAGAAAATTATGGATTGGATCAGAGAATCAATCTGATCAAGCCTAAAACAGTCTGTCCTGAAAAAGCACTGACTCACACTGTGCGAGATGCTGTTAGCTGTGTATTTCTTACTGTGGGGAGGTAGAGTAGTTTGAGGATGATAATCTCTTTTAGATGTTTATCTTAAAATAAGAGGCGCCACGGACTACTGGAGTGATAATCTCAGATGACATTAGAGCTGGACAATATGACAAAATTTATCATTATCGTTATAAATTACACCACAGTGTGTCACAATAAGCTTCTCTGAGTACATCGTAGATATCGTCAGTACTTAAAAAATCACTTCCCAACTGCATGTTTGATTACAAAGAGAGCATAATTAGTCCTGTTCAACTGGATTTAGTGCAGCACAGTGTGTAAAATGTTGAATACAAGTATTTGGATTCATAGTATTTTTAAAAATAGTATTTTTAAAATGTGTCACAACTTTGTCTGCTAACTTAGGTGTCAGAAAAAATAAATATTGTGCCATCATGTATCACAAAAAATCTTCCTGATATTACATTTTGCCATATCACCCATCTCTGGATGCCATCATCACTTCCTCCCAGCATGATGAGAGCCCTTGCCCCAGTCCTAAAGCTTAGTAGTTGTTAAAGAAGAAAAGAGCTATTTTAAAGCTCAGTAGTTTTTAAAGAAAAAAAAAGGATGGGATGCTGGCCAATAATCAAAGTTTCAGTATTGGTTTCAGAAAAGAAAAAGTGGTATTGCACCATCTCTTGCCTGACGAGCTATAACTATCTTCTATCCCACACCTCCTTGCAAGGCTTCACTGGGATTCACCTGGACGAATAAGAGACAAAAAATAAGATAAATGATGGGGACAGTGAAATAAGTGTCTTTATTTAGTTACAATGGGATTTGCTCTGTTGCCCACTGGTACCCTCTTCGTGTGCTGAGAGTACGACAGCCAGTGACCCCCCGCCCTGTCAACACATCTACCACCAGGTCTCGTGTCTACTACCAAGACCAATACGTTTAACACACTCATATGCAACGCTGCTATCAAGCAACATATCTGACGCTGTATGTCACGAAATATAGTGAAAGTACCATTTAACCCGAGCGTGTCTGGTCTTCCCCTTCCTCTGTTCTCAGTCGGAGGTAGCAGCAGTGTCGTTAGCTCCACGCTGAGACCTCCTGTGACCTCTCTTCACACAACACTGACTTACCGGCTTAGCCTAACGTTATTCCTGCCTCCCATGAGGCTCACTGGCAACAACTACGGTCCATGGTTCTGAAACACAGCTGGGTACAGCAGTGTAGCGTTATTAAGTGAGTATTAGCTGCGCTGTCACGGCCTTTAGAGAGAAACACACAGCTCCATGTTAAAGTCACGCCGTGGAGGAGTAAGAGGAGGAGGTTTCTCTCGGCGCTACATCCGGCGCCTCTGTTACGCGGCGGCGCTGGATCGGTTCGGGCTGACCTCGCCCGCTGATTGGCTGTCTGTGGAGGAGGCGTTGCCACGGTCCGCTCGGACGGAGTCGTGTTAATCTCAGAAGTCATCATGGCGCTCACTTCCTCGCAGCAAGGTAAGAGCCTTCGCCTCAGGTTTGCGATTATTTACAAACAGTCGGCCGCTTTTCTGTCTCTCAGAGAGAAGTGTAAGTTGTCCTTTATCGAGCGACACTGTCGGCTGTGACTGCAGTGTTTTATAAACCGCCGTGTTCCTGTCGTGCTCCGTTCTCGGAAGGCTAACCAGCTAGCTGAGAGATAACGGGTAGCTAAAGCTGCCGGTTGTACTGCTGACATTTAAGAGCAGCGACGCCTGACTGACAGTGGGCGTTATTCCCTCACGGTAACGTTAACAATCAAACGTGGCGCGCAACGTTGTGTTTCTTAGGGACAATTGGCGTTAAATGTTTATATAACAGTACACGGCGGAACGATAGGGCGAGCAGATAAAGCTAAAGCTCCGGAGTAATGTTAGCTAGAGCCCGTACTCTCTAACGTTAGCTGCTATTATTGTCTGACATTGACCATCCAGCGCCTGTCTGAAGAGGCCACTGTGCAGCGATTTCACATCCTCACACGACCCTGCCTGTCTCTATTGTTGATGGTCTGGTGTTCAAGTTAAGGGGTCATGTAGACTTTAATCTTCAAACGGTTAAAGTGTGTTTTGTTCTTTCCTCGGCGGGGGTCTCTTCTAATCTAGGTAACCTAGAGCATTTGGCTGCAGAGATAAGGAGAGAGTTCCCTCCCAGTCCCTCTTGGCTGGCCTGCAGCTCCTGAGCGCTAGCCTGACGGTGTTGCCTGTTTTTCCTGTTTTTCACTGAAGATTTGGGTACAAAGACCAGAAGGCCTCACAAAGGGCACCTTTGGCTAATGCCACCGAAGTCATGGAGTTCATTTGGTCTTCAAAGTGGGTTTTTCTTTGCGAGAGGACTTTTGACTGAAGGAGTTTGTGGTCATTAAAGTTAGCTAATGCACACAGTAACACCTCGGACTCCTTCATCCTTGAAATGTACCAAACTTCATTTTGTCCTTTGACAGTGACCTGGAGGCATTTGATTTGACTGTATGAAGACTTTGGCTACCTATCAGTCTTTAATGGCATGATTTAAGTGCAGGGTTGTCCACTTTTGTTTGCTTTTCAGCTTATGTAACTATGTCAATAGAGGTACAGGAGTACATTTCTCCGTTCCGCATTTGATTTCTGAAGCATATCTTCTTGAGGCCTGACCAGGATGTTTTGTTTTTGCAAACTACTGTCAACATTGTAATGACTACCTCTGCTCTTGTAATGAGTGACTTTAAGTCTGGTGAAATTACCCCAGATTCCACTCCAGGCCCACACACGTCTCTGAGACTGAGAGAATTATTACTGATCTGTTAAAGAACAGTGCTGAGCTTGTAGATGGAAGTTTTAAGAGGAAAAACGGTGAGTGGGAAGCAAAGAAGACTTTTAGTCTTGCTGAGTGCATATCAGGCCATGAGTTAAACAGCTCTCAGGCAGAGCAGGTGCGCACTGCTGTAGCCAAATGCACCACATTTTGGCTACTGCACAAAATGTCTGCATGGAAGTGGGCTCATCACCTCACCGCCTTATATATAGGGTATTGTTTCATTTATGATACGTTTATGTGTCTGAAATTAATTTGTTTTTTCATATCACAGGTAATGTTAAGCATGATTTATTATATCATTTAAAATACACAATTTTTTTTCTTGTATAAAAGTGTAGTGATGTTTGGATGCCCTAGAAGCATCTTCGTCAAATACGTCATCATACACCATGTCATGGGAAAGAGTAATTGGGGATGTGCTGCTGTGGGAGCAGTGGGTCAATACTGTAACGTTTATTTATATATCTGTAGATACTGATTCCGGAGCAGATAAATAAATATTTAGAAATACAAAAATATAGGGACTAAATCCAGCGCACAGAGAAATATAATGTTTAACATTCATTCCTAAATTTATTCCTAACCTAAAGTAAGTTCCTAGAGCAAGAAAACGTGTGCAGAACAGGGGTATTCCAGGACCAGGATTGGGAATCTGTATGGTAGAGCATCCAAAATGATTTTCATATTGCAGTGTTCAGGAGCAAAAAAAGCCAGGTTAGAAACAAGTGACTGAGTTATGAATTAAGTTAATAATTTTTTTTTTTTTACTTACACCAACTATATTCTGGCTTCAACTGTGTTGTATATATGAAAAAAAATACTGTTTTTGTGTTTTGTTTTTGTGCAGAGCACCCTTTCAGCCATTTGATTGACACATTACAGACAGAGAAAAATAAAGCTCGAAAATATTTCAACCCTCAGAAGCTTGGGGATCCAAAATATGGTAAGTGAAGTGAAGTGAGAGAAGCAGATCATATCTTTGCCTCAGGGCTCTGGCAGGCTTTCTTTTTCCCAGGAACCTGGTTGATGTACTCTATACAAATGACTGCTTTGGTATCTAGAAATTTCTCAATATAATGATATTCATAGCAATGATGATGCTTACATAATTCAGCAGGCCAGCCTATTTGCATGAAAACATAAACACAGCATGGTCTAAGCCTTTTACATTGAGTAAACATGTTCACCATTAATTTTTCAGCAGTAAATATGCCTCGCTTACCAATTAATGCTGAATAAATCTAAGATTTTTCATGACACTGTGGTCAATATTGTGCAAATGCAGCGCTAATTATCAAAGATGACTGCTGATTAGGATAAATTATATCATGACCATGCTAGATGACTCTCATTATGGATTTTACATCAGGATAATAGCAAAGCCTAAGTGATGTCCATTACGAATCTATATTGTGGTGAAACCAGTCCACACATTTTCCGACCTAAATCATGTTAGATGTTGTGCTACTAAATGATTCCTAAATTGCAGTATTTTTTTCTGTCCTCCAGAGAGACTGCCTTTCTCTATTCGCGTGCTGCTGGAGGCTGCCATCCGAAAGTGCGATGGGTTTTACGTGAAGCAGGAGGATGTGCAAAATATTCTGGACTGGGAAAAGCAGCAAAATGAGGCTGAAATTCCCTTCTCTCCTGCACGAGTGCTGCTGCAGGACTTTACGTGAGTTCTTCAACTGATGCAGCCTTTGTCTATGTTATCTTTGTCTATGTTATATAGGTCAAGTGATTATGAATATGGATTTGTGTGTGACCTTCCTCACAGAGGCATTCCAGCCATGGTGGACCTGGCAGCCATGAGAGATGCTGTGGCCAAGAATGGACTCGACCCCAACCTCATCAACCCCAAATGTCCTACTGACCTTATAGTAGATCACTCACTACAGATTGACTTCAGCAAGTGGTAAAGCTCATTAGTAGCTGAAATTGATTCTTATAGTGACTGATCGCTTAAGCCAGTAGTTCTTAATAGTAGTTCCTAGTCCTTTGTTTTTGTGTGTTCCTTCATCCATCACGTCTGACTCTAATATTCAGATGCCTTTGAAGGCCTTCGTTACCTGGAGCATTTTTGTTAGATTAGAGTTGGACTTAAACTCCCCAGGACCAGGAATGCGCATCCCTGTTGTATATAATACATAACCAATAGAGCCGTTCACCCGAGTAATTTTATTTATTTGTATTTTTTTCTTTCCTTCAGTGCCATCCAGAACGCGCCTAATCCCGGTGGAGGAGATGGACATGGGGCGGCGTCGCGCTCGGCCCCTGGTCGGCCGTCTCCCAGAAGCAGTCAGTGTGGGGGCTCTAGAGGAGGCTGCAGTAAAGGGTCATGCAGTGATGCTCCCTCCAGCTCCAGCAAAGCTCCCATAGTACAGATAGAGAACACACCACTTCTCTGCCCCTTCCACCTGCAGCCTGTCTCAGAGTAAGAGCAACACTGCTTTGCTTTGCATGGCCTGTGCTCAGAAAGAACTCTAGAGTCGAAGTGGTGATCTGTGTATTACTTGCAGTGTCTGAGGGTCACTCAGTCATTTCCAAAACACTTTCTTTCCTCTGCCTAAACAGATGCCTGAGTTCAATTTTTCTGTTACTGCGCCGCAGCCTGCTGTGTTTAACTGTATAGTATATTAACCACTGTCATCTCTATGACTCGAGTCAGTTAATGCTTGTGTTGACTAGAGGGACCTTAAAGTGTCTTCGTCATCTGCACAGTGTTGCCATAAACTAGTGTAATCACAGACTGTAATTTAGTCCTTTATTCTTTTAAAGCCCAGTATTAAGTGTGTTGTATTTATAAATTAAGGCCAAGACTCACTCTCTATGCATGTGAGTAAATTATTGTGGGGAATGCAAAGCTACTATTTTATGTTTTGTAATGGCAGTGTGGTTGAGCCTGTGTGAGCTAGTGCTGATGGAATTGTTGATTGGTGTTTATGAAGACTAGTAGGATTCATGGCTCTGTTACTGCACGCCCCTAGGCAAGAGACCGCGCTAAAGAACCAGGAGATGGAGCTCATAAGAAACAAAGAAAGACTTCAGTTCTTTAAGGTGAGTTCAGATTTCACTGAAATTGAAGTTTAGCTTGTGCTGCATAAACTACATAAATGTATATGGAGACATGCTGAATTCAGTTTAGGGCTCATTGTATTATAAGCAGTAAAGGTGTCTTGTCTTAACTAATTGAGAATTGTAATATTTTCCACAGTGGTGTTCTAAAGCATTTAAGAACGTGAGTGTGGTTCCTCCAGACATTGGGTCAGTGCACCAGGTCAACCTGGAGTATCTGTCTCAGGTAGTGCAGGAAACCGAGAGTTTTGTCTTTCCTGACAGTGTAGTGGGCACAGATTCTCACACTACCATGATCAACGGGCTTGGCATACTTGGTTGGGGTGAGTGCTTCCTGCTTTTACCTTGAATGCAACTCCTTAGTAATGTATTTTTCACAAACTGTATATATGCACCTAGCCACACAAACCTAGACACATGCATTAAACACTAGTTTTTCTAACTGGT